TTTTACATGTTGTTCATTCAAAAAGGGAATTTTCTCAAATATAAATTAATGTTATATTAGAATATTGTGCATATATAAGCATAGGTTAGGTTAGGTGTTTAGGTCTGTTGGCGATTATTTGTATTTGTAGTACGTGGGTGAAGCATTTATAGCGTTGTGGTTCGAACAAAATTCGTCAGTGAAGCACTTGTTCCGGATGTGTTCGAACAAAATCAGTTGTGAGTCGTGTGTAAATCATTTCTATTCATAAACAGGGGGTTTGGCTGGTGCATGGAATCACTTTTGGGTCTTTGTTTGGAGGACGGGCTGCGTCCTCCTAAACAAAGGCCCAAAGTCCATTCCATCCACCTGACAAATCCCATGTTTATGAATGAACAACGATTTACACACGACTCACAACTGATTTCGTTCGAACACTTCCGGAACACGTGCTTCACTGACGAATTTTATTCGAACCACAAAGCTATGAAGATTTCAGCCACGTTTCACCCACAAATAATCGGCAACAGAACCTGAACACCTATCCTAACCAGCGCCTAAATATGAACAATATGCTAATATATAATAATATTAATTTATATTTCAGAAAAGTTCTGTTTTGAATGAACAGAATGTTAAAATTGATGAATGCGTCTTTGGAGTCGACCGCTGGATGTAATGGACTTGGTCTGAGGACGGGTTGCAAATGCAAATAATCCCCATTAAAACCTAAACTCCTAACTTAACCTAACCTATGCCTAACTATACATAGAATTTTATGTTATACGAATATTAATTTATACATGAGAACAAACACATTTTTATTACTCAATGTGTTAAAACTGATGAATGCGTCTGGGGAGGACGGCCGCTGCTTTAAACAGCCTAGTGTGAGGACGAGTTGTTAGATTAGCGAATATTTGGTCAATTTACTTAGGCTTATCAAGATTTCCCCAGGCCAACTTCTGGGCCAGATTCACGAAGCAGTTACGCAAGCACTTACGAACCTGTACATCTTTTCTCAATTTTTGCCGGCTTCGTTTATAATCATTAAACAGTTAATGATCACCGAAGCACCAGGAGGCTGTTTATAACAATAACAACAGTTGATTGGGAAGTTTTCATGCTTGCAAACTGTTTAATAAATGTAACCAAAGCCGTCAAAGATTGAGGAAAGGTGTACACGTCCGTAAGCACTTGCGTAACTGCTTCGTGAATCTGGTCCCCTGGTCTTATCCAGGATGTAACCCATATGAATTATCTAACTCATAGGTACCTATTTACTGTTAAGTGGACAGAGTCAGCAGGTGAAAGGAAACATGCCTAACAGTTTGTGTCATATCCGGGTATTGCATTCAAGTCCCTCGATTTTGAGCGTGGAGTTGCGGGTACACCACTGTGTGTGTTGTCTCCATTGCTAGCGTGATCCACATAGCACTGGACGGAGGTAAAGGTAGGACTTCCCTCGCCCTCTTACATGTACTTAACACAACCTTACACACTAAACAATTCCCTCTAGTACACCTCTTACACATTCTACCTTACATACACCCCTAACCTATATACATCCTCTTATGCCAATCCTCGTGACAAAGAATCGACTGAAGAGCAGCAATTTAGTCATTATTTGTTTCTTGTTGAATGGCCAACCCCATTTGGGGTTTCAATAAGCAGATGGGCCCTAATCCCTGCCGTGTTTGGGCCGGTTATACGGCAATAATGAGGGCAGAATTAGGGGAGTGTATTAGAGGGAGTGAATCGGAGATTTCAGGCAAGCCAGCACGCTACCAATGAGGATAGATGGATACAAGGCACGGATTGGTAGATTGAAAGTTGATGAATGGATTGGCTAGATGTATGATTAGATGGGCTTGAGAAGTGATTGAAAGGATTGGAGGTGTGGATGAATAGGCTAGAGAGAGTAGATGGATGAGGTGTGGTTAAATGGATTGGAGGTGTGGATGAATAGGCTAGAGAGAGTAGATGGATGAGGTGTGGTTAAATGGATTGGAGGTGTGGATGAATAGGCTATATAAAGTGGCTGGATGAGCTAATTCGAGTTTACGGGCTTACCATAGCCCGTGCTACATGGACACTTCATCCTGAGTAGCTAAATCTTTAACAACAACAACAGCTAATTCGATGAAGTTAGATGTGATATAAGTGTGGTCGGATTAATTATGTGTTAGTGAATGGATGGCTTGAATATACCTAAATACTTCAGTTTAAAATTTATTAAGATAAAGTCTTCGGGTATAATCGGAGGAAACCTTTGACAAACAGCGGTCTTCTAGTCAAGGTAAAATTTGGATGTGTGATCGGATAAGCTGGAGACGTAGTTGATTAGACCATAGGTGTGGTTAGATGGGCTAGAGGCGCTCCGGAGAATTTTCCAAAATTTTCCCGAAACCTCTTGTTATGGATATCTATAATGTTGTTCTGTCTAAAGTTAGAGGCTGGCTAGCCTCATTCAACTTATCGGCGGGAAATGATTAAGGGGTTTCGGACGGAACAAGGCTGGTTGGGTTGTTGTTGTTTTAGATTCAGCTACTTGGAACAAAAAGTTCAAAGTAGCACGGGCTATGGTGAGCCCGTAATTGGTTGGGGTTGGCCTAAGTTAAATGCTTTAAAAAAAGCAATTATGGAGATCATGCAATTTTCATATAGTCAAGTGAAGTACTGTATTATGTATGAGTTCCCTAGAGGTTTTAGTTATCATAGAACTGTATATGTTCTGAGGGACCCCACACAGTTGTTTAAGTGCTTCTTAATAATACATTTTCTGTAAGAAGGGAGTGAAGTGGGAAGCAGGGAGAAAAAGGAGGCAAGGACGAGGGGAAGGATGAAGGGAAGATTAAGAGGGAAGGGATGAGAAGGTCAAGGATAAGGGGAGGGTCAAGGGGAAGATGTGGGGAAAGGTGGAAAATGAGTGAGGGGAAGAAACCTGGGTGCATTGAGGTACCCCTTATACACATAAAGATTTACATTAAATTATGAGTTCATTTTTTTTATTTGAGTTAAAACATAAAACAATCATAACTCAGTAATTCGTTTTCTTAATATATTTTAATATTAATTCAAATAAACGAATTTGAAATAATGTTTTAAATATAACGAAAATCACTCTGCCCGTTAGGCAAATCAAATCTTGCATACTAGGCCGAATAGTGCATTCTGGCTATTAGGTATGACATTATATATACGTATAATGAATAAATTTGTCTGTTCAAGGTTGTAGGGGAGAAGGGGAAAATAGGGAAAATACAGAGGGAAGAGAGGGAGAGGAAACAGAATAATGGGAAGGGGGGAAGAGGAAGGGAAAGTGGGTGGGAAAGGTGAAGGGGGAAAGGGTGGACGGGAAGAAATATGGGGGTATGTGGGGAGAGGGTAAAAAGAGGGTTGGAATAGGGGACGAGGAGGGAGAGGCTGAGAGAGAGAGCGGCAGAGAGAGAGAGAGAGACTGAGACTATCCCTGGTACTAATATGTAACCTCCCCCAACCTCCCTCCTAGTATAAATTGACATACAGTATATCATCTTATAATTATAATGTTTGTGCTGAATGTATAACATGAAAGAACTTACATAAAAAAAAACTTTATTTTGTTACAAAATAAGACAAAAATGGGCTACAAACGAGTCAATGTCCTCATTTCACAATTCCTGTAGTTAGATGATCTGGGTTCAATCTCCAAGCATAAAGAAACAGTTGGGCACATTTCCTTTCACCTTATGTCCCTTCTTACCTAACAGTAAAATTGGTACTCGGGAGTTAGACAATTATTGTGGGTTGCATCCTGGGGAAATCAGTAGTTAGCCCAGGGGGACCTCGATAAGCCAAAGTACAGGTGTCTTGTCCCCAAAAACTGGGAATTGGGCAACGCAAAATACACGTTGGCATGGCGTTTAATATTTGGCGTATTAAAGGCTATGATTTAAGTGTCTATATACAAGTGATTATGCACCTATATATAGTGGAGCAACATAAACCAGATACAGGACCTAGGGGACACTGGTGGCTGAGTGTACAGCACGCTGGATACGTAGTCCTGTGTTCCGGGGTTTGATTCCCGGTGCCGGTGGAAACAAAAATGGGCAGACTTCTTCCACCCTGATGCCCCTGTTTCCTAGCAGTAAATAGGTACCTGGGAGTTACAACTGTTATGGGCTGCTTTCTGGGTGTGTGTGTAAAAAAAAAAAAAAAATTAGTAACAGTTGATTGACAGTTCAGAGGCAGGCTGAAAGAGCAGAGCTCAACCCCCGCAAGCACAACTAGGTGAATACGGTACTGTATATTGGTGCCTAGATGCTGTTTGCTAGCATATTCAATGGATATAATCAGGTCTCTAGTGCACACCCAATTTGATGAATCTCATTAAAGATTTCAACTACAGATGGTTATAATCAAATCTTAAAATAATTCTGCAGACTTGTAGCTTCATTTGGCAATGCAACTGTTATGCATCAATTATTTCTGTACATAGTAAGTGATGATTTTATAATCAATCGAGAAGTTTTATTTTTTGAAGTCTGTAACATCTAATCGTTTAATATGTAGGGAAAAGGGAGGGGGAGGGTGTGGCTTCCTGCACCTGACAATGGAGATAAAAAATGATTCATTCTAAATTATTTTGCTCAATAACATTTTTTCATTAATCCATATACTACACTGCCAAATTTTTGCCTACATATCTTCATATTTTATGTCTTCAAATTCCTTCATCCTTTACACATCATCAAAACATATTACCAGTAATCATTCATCTTCAATTACTGTATTCCACTATTTCTCAGCAGCATAATGAAGTACATATTAACATTGCATTTAGCACACACCTCACTGTGTAACCCACTTTGTTTTGATGTTTTGCCGTCTTTCTTTCTTTCTTTCTTTGCCTGTGCCAAATTGTTAATTATTTATGAACCTCTTTTAAGAGGTTTCTAAATGTTAATAAACATTTATAAACCTCTTAAAATCTCCACACACTTTGTCTTTTTATTGGAAAATAGTATATAAAAAACTTCAAGTCATTAGATTTATTAAAATTATTTACTAATTGTAAATATATACCCAACAAATGCAGAACCAATGACAAACAAATAAGAAATTGTTTTTACAAACCCAAACATGATACTAGCACTTCTATGATTTATGTTGCAAAAAAAGAGGAACAAGAACATTTTCCAAAAAATATTTAGCTTATAAATATAATAAAATATACACAACATTTAAATATTAACCTAAACAAGATAAATTCTCCAAGTCAATTAAAATCTAGCAGAAACTTGCCAAGCAAACTTTCTCATATCACAGTGCATTAATTTGAACCCTATACTCTAAATATGATCATAATTACATATCCTAAACAAATATACTAGCTCTGGACAACACCCATATACAAGATAAATATCATGGTACCTTGAGGTTACCTTGAGGTGCTTCCGGGGCTTAGCGTCCCCGCGGCCCGGTCATCGACCAGGCCTCAAACAACTGGTAGACAACAATTGTAGTACAATCATCAAGTATACTTTTTTTAAATAAAACATATTTAGTGACTGTAGATACTAGTACCTGTAACACAAGTCATTTAAATGCTTTACATATTCTTTCATATTTACAGTAAGTTCATCGATACAAAAAAATATGTTCTGCATACCATTATTCATTGGTTATTGTGATTCTTTTCAATGCTCAAAGATCTGAAAGCAATGTTAAAGTGAACAACTTTATGAACAAAATAAGTGAGGGCTCATTCAGTGTGTATATATGAAAGGAAATAATTAAATAAAGTAAGCAAAAGTAAATAAAGTCAGAATATTAAGATAAAGGATCCCACAAATATATTAAATCGGATACTGAACTGGATATTAAGTTACATCATAAAATAAAACGAAATGAATGTAGGTAACATAAGGACCATTAGCAAGAAAATAGACAAAAATTTTCAATCCAACACAACAAAATTACACATTTACTCAGTGAAAACTGTTCTCACAAAATATTTACAGCCAGCACTTCCGAGTTGAATGATTCTACTACTGTCTCATACAATGCAGAAATTCACCATGATATTAATCCAGAATATTTTCAAGAGTTTTTTCTCAAAATGACAATCATGGAATCTCTTCATTAAAACTTATTAAGAGTGTATTAATAATAATAAAAACTGTACCAAATATTTTTATCAAATTAAGCACAGCTACTCTCTCATATCATTTAACACACTGAAAACCATAACCAAAGGAATAGCATTATGGTATGCCACATGGTAGGCCATTATGAATGGCCTTTGGCATTATGTAAGCAGAAAAATCTGCCATATACCTACCATATCTTATGAAAATATTAGAGGTGCACGACTGTATTTAAACAATATTTAATCACAGGTAAATAATACTCAACACATTTCTTTACGAATCTTGAAGGTGCTATTTAAAGAATGACAAGATATGGTTAAAATATATTTGTACATTCTTTTTTTTTTTATATCTACAGAGTTGAAACCTTGTGCTTCTGCCATATTATAAAATTCGTCACATTTCATTTTAAAGGATCCTAGAGATACTTAACTTCCAATATTCTATCACACACAAGAGAAATGTAAGACTGCACCTTCCTCAAGAATGTATGTAACATCATTAGACTAAATTATACTTTTCAAAATATATGTAATATCTTAGACATAAACTAAAAACTAAGTGCTGACTGTAATGAAACACCTTTTTCTGGAGGAGCCCCAGTTCCCCCAGAAAATATAGCTTGAGATTTTGTCTTGCAGTTTCGATTAATATAATTTGTCTAATATTTTCAATGCACTGATATGGAAGGTTTACAAGTCATTATGGAAGGATCTTTGTATCTTATATCACATGTCATCAAGGTGCAAATAAAAAAAACTTTGAATGGTATGGTATACCATTGTTATAGTAGTTCCCCACCATCCTAGAGCGAGGCTCTTTGTACAGTCACCTATCCAGTTACCAGCCAGGTCCAATAGTGTTTAATCTTAATGAAAGAGTGATGGCATACATCATCAACTGTGGCATGCAATTGGTTCATTGCCAGTGATCAAACACAAATTGTCAGATCATTTATCTTCATCCTGCTGTATACAAGATTAATGGATGAAATGACAAGTAAAGTGACCTGTGTGAATGTATACTGCAAGCAGTAATAAAGTTAGCTGAGTGGCTAAGTCAATATTCAGCTGCCAAAATAATGGCTTCATCTGTACAATTTACCTACCTATCCACAATTGATTCAATTGTCAGTACAATACCTACCTATGCAGTTAAACGGGAATTGAATTTGTGCACCTATCTGCAGCCCAAGATGAGTTACCTGAGTCTCTCCACACTTATCAGACAATGAACTCAATGTTTTGGTAGAAGTAAATGAGATGTTATCCATTAAACAAAATATGTACTAATATATCATTTTACCAATAACATAAGTGAGATTACATCTAAACTCCCAATAAATCAGTATCACAGTAAAACAATGAATGAAGTAATAGGGAATGTTCAAAGTAATATGATTATTATTAATCAAAATATAGTCTTATTTTTTCTATAGTTTATTTGATGTGTCAAATTCCTCTTACTCCAGAGGTTAATCCAATTTACAAATTTATAAACACAATGTGAACTTCGTTAACTTAATGGAATCATTTTTGCTACCAACTTCCTTTGCTAGAATCAGTCTCTGGGATAAATAGCTCGCAACCACGGGCCTGGAATATATTGAGCACCGTCGTAGAAATCAAAGTACTGGTTCAGGTCTGGATGTTTTACCTGCAAGAGAAAATCATTTTAACATTTTCAAACAGAACTTTTAATAATTAATTTTGTTAAAGACACAAAGCTTGTGTATATACTGTATATGCATTGTACTGAGGTCACCCCCAAGGTCGAACTACTAATCCTGGGGCAACCCCCACAACAGTTGCACAACTCTCAGATACTTATATACTTTTAAGTGAACAAGCACCTTAGGTGAAAGGAAACATGCCCAACCATTTCTGTCCCACACAGGAATTGAACCTGGGATCCACTATAGGCCAACAATTGATCTTTCCTAGGAGGCAACCTATAACAGAATCCTAACTCCCAGGAATCTATTTGCTACTAGGTGAACTTCCCCAACCATCACCATCCTGTATGGAAATCAAACCTGGGACCTTCTGGTTATGAACTGACTATGCTCACCGCACAAATAAAAATAAACTGAATAGTTCTAAGCTGTACTAGTCCACACAGCCTGCACCTGAAGTGAGTCAGGAAGGAATTTTTAGGAGCTGTGTTGGGGGTGTCGCTCTGACCTAAGGTTGACCTTTACTATCTGGTGGAGGTCAACCTTAGTAACTTTGTAGGTAGTAAGTCAAGGTTCAGTACAAGGAGAAAGCTTTTGAGTTTATGGAAAATACTTTACTGTCTACATTCTAAGTAGGATCGAATATTCTCATAAGTTTCCCAACAGGCTGGTACAGAATGTCAAGCTGCCTTGCTTGCAGCAGATCATAATCAGAAGTAAACAGAATCATGTCTTAGGAAGCAACAAAGTGGTGTAGCTAGGAAATAACAAACAAAATGAATGAATATTTCATAAATTATATTTCCTTGATATTTTATTATTAAACTTTACTGTCAACAAAATTAATAAAGGTCTAATTACATAAAGTCTCATTAAAAAAAAACATACCTCGTGATTTAGAATTGGAGATATATTCTCCTGGGGAACATACGTAATTTGTGCTGCCTCACGATCTCCGGTGTCGACTAGCAGAGCATAATTGGGCTGCTCTTTCCAGTGCTACTAAGAAAAAACAAAATTAGGACAGCTAATTAAACTAATATATTGTCTAATATACCAATTCATACATATATACATACATATATAAGAATTCAGTTCTAGCATTCAATATCAATTAAGGTAATAGCTGATCTAAAAAAAAATCTATTTCTAGAATCTAAACTATCAAAATGACTCAATTATTGCACAAAGTGATATAATGGCTAAACTTTAAGTACTACTTCATGTCAAGTGATAAGCTTCAAAATAAAATGAAGCACTTACTTTGTTATCTTGATGCATTTTGCTTATCCACTCCTCTGGTGCCTGAAAAATACAAACACAGTATCTAGGCAAATGTTATATTTACATAGAGACTTTCTTATCTACTTCAAAAAATTAATTTTTTTAGTCACCAAAAGTATCTAAGCTTTACCAGTTACTTAGTTTAGACTTAGAAGCAAAATAAATGTTATAGTAAATACAAATATCATCTATATTAACTTTTGTATTTAGGTAAATTATGGAGCTTGATTAAATGATCAGAGGAAATAGTCCTGATTACACATTCTTTTAAGGTAGATGTATCTTAGGCACTACCAACCACAGTGGACAGATCCGTTTCTATAAAAATTTATTAAAATACAACACTAATGAAATAGCTTTTTCTGGTGGGTGCCCTCAGTAGCCTTTTAAGCTAGCTGCTTGGTTAGCTTCAAGCTAACCACACCAGGTACTACACCAGGCCCTCGTGACTCATAAGGACCTGGTGGGGTACATTAGGCTTGGAGCTAAAAAAACAATGCAGATCGAAGAGGTGCCAGAAATATTTTCTCACCTTAGACTTAGGATCCCAGCCAATAATCACAGCCTTATAGCCCCAGAGGTTATGTTTTACAACTTGGCCAATGCGCCACTTCAATCCCTGTGGGCGAATGTTGCGTGGTTTTGGAGACATACCAAAAGCACCATCAGGATTACGATAGTTCCATACTTCAACAGCAGGACACTCCCCAAGTGGATCATCATCATCCAAGTTATACCAATGGCTATAATCTGTAAGTTATGTACTATGAAGCCCAATGTTAAGTTAGCATGAAATAACCATATTATTAATTCCCAAGTACAGACTAAATGTTGCCTTAATTACTAGAAATACTAAAGGTACAAATACACAATCTTTTAATAAATAGTATTGAATTAGTTACAATTGCTAAAAAAATGCAAGAAAGATTAGGAATCTGCAAATCATGTTAAAAATAACAAATAATTCAGCTCTTTCAACATTATAAAACTATCACAAATCTAATGGCCACTTGCTCTAAATTTAATTATAAAACAGAAATGACAAATCACAAGTAAATTATAATGGCAGTCCTATACTAAAGGTACTAGTTTTAATTACAGCAAAAGAAAAAACAAATATGTACTGTACCGTTAACCATATATTTTTGTTGAACACCAATAAGCCACTCCCTCCATGATGATGATGTGAGCCATTTTTGTGACAGGGTGTGGGCCTGCTTAACCAGCCTGTACATCTCGATTGCCCGCTGGTCTGGAGTAATAGATGAGCGCTGTGTCAGCCAGTACTGCACTGGCACACAGCACACCAACACACAAAGTACTACGGCATCACGACCAGATAGCGGCATGGCAATTCTGAACAAAGCAAAGCAAAGGTATATATTAATAAGAGTAAAAACTATTGAACCACATACATAATATACTACTAAGGCTAGGAAAGAGAACAAATCAACAATAATGAATGCTTAAAGGCAGAATAATCAGAAAAACAATTTTCAATAAAAATAATCTGCCATGAAGACAATTTACAAAACAATGGGAAGAGGGAAGAGAAATATAAATATAAAGCTTCTGTTCCAACACAAATAAGTATTCTCCTAGCCTATAAAATTAAATACATACCAGGCTCCAATTTGCATAGGCCACTATACTATCAAGGCCCATAATTATATATCAGAGACCATACCACGAAACTCCATATACAGTAAATTTAAATTTAAATTACAGTACTGTCATTTGTCTCGCATTTCCACAGAATGGTGGCAAGACATAGGCATGCAATCCTGTCCACTTGTGCATGACTAAGGTAACTTTGAGAATTTCTAGGGTTTCAGATTGTAGTATTAATTCTTTCACTAAATAGTTTTCACATAACCTAATATAACTGACCTAACATAACACATTCTAGCAAAAATTTGGCAGGCCGGAAAGGGCAAGTTATGGAAGGGACGTTTCATTCCAATGCCCTTTCAAGTACGGTTCAAATAATTTTGGAATTGCCAGCGTACTGGAATAGTTAATCCTGTTACGCATTACATATTCTTGAATCGTTTACCAGTTGAGATAAGATACAACCTGGGCCACAAATAACGGAAAACTAATGATATCCGTAAAACACAGCGTGTGGATACCAATGTTGACAGCACCTTCGTCACCACAACCAGCTGACAGTTCACACATCCGATTTCAATAATAATAATAATAATAATTTTAATGTTTACTCGGGTAAAAGAACAAACATTCAAATTGAGTTACAAACAGAATGTTGGATTTCTAGATAGAGCTAGTACATACTATGCCTTAAGCCACTAATATGCACAGCGTTTCGGGAGATCTATTTCTTAAACTATTTCTTTAACAATAAACATTTATTTCTTCTTAAAGCCAAAAACTATATTATAAAACACTTAAAACACTATCACTTTAGAAAACTATCAATTTACACAGAATTAACAACAAGGGTACTTCAAATTTCGTTAATATTGCAAATAATATATCTCACAAAAGCTTAAGTTGAAGTCATTTCATGTGTTCGAACAAAAGTAAAATGTAAACAAACAAACGAGCAACAAACGTACGAACACGCCATTGGGGTTCGAGAGCTTGAGGCCAGCCTCCCACGATCGGATCTTGGCGCGCGGATTGAACGCTCCTGGCTGGACGTTCTTTCCACACCTTACCTGGAACTCATCTTTGAATTCAGCTGGCTTCTTTGGGCCAGTGTGTGCTCACTGCAGCTACCCAGGGGTTCACAGGACCGGGGGAGGCCGGAGCCTCCCTAATGGACGCCTCCCCGAGCGGGGGCGCCATGGATGTTGACAGCAAGTCCCAGAGAGGAAAACGTCTGCTGGAAAATGAGTCGGCTGATGCTGCCCCAGAGCGAGACGCTAAGAGGATGTCTTCCCCTTCAGAAGACCTTAGTCTTGTGGTACCCCGTTCCTCGTTTGTGGTAGTCCTAATCCAGTCAGAATCAGGTCAGTGCGTCTTTGCAAATCCTCGTACCTTAGGTGCAGCAATCGAGGCTTCCGTATTGTGGCCACATTGCCTGCCTGAGACCATACGTACCCTGGGTAGGGGTGCAGCACTGAAGCTACATATCAGAAAGGAGGCTCTATCACACATCTGTGTATCCGACATTATTAAGTTGGGGGACTGGCCTGTCAGGTGCCGACAGGTATTGTCGCAGGAGGAGGAGTCTCGAGCCCGGTATGGGAAGATTGGCCCAATTGACCAGTGTAGATGTGGATGACATCCAGGCCGCTCTGCAGGTATTAGGGGGTGCATCGGCGAGATTATTGGAAGTTACCAGGATTCGCGGAGCAGCAGGGCCGACATCCATGGTCCGTGTAAAGTTCGATGGGCACCTCCCTGACCGAGTGGCACTACACAGGACCTCGTATCAGGTTCAGCCCTACAATTTCCCTGTGTTACGATGTTACGCTTGTCATCTATTGGGCCACAGTCGCCTGACCTGCCGTAATGCAGCACGTTGTGCAAACTGCGGCAAAACAGGCCATTCAGACAGAGATAACGGTGGGTGCTCTGCTGCACCTCGCTGCTTTTTATGCCATGGCCATCATAAGGTTACGTCTAAGAGTTGCCCTGTATATCTTGAGGCCCTCCAGTTGGACATCGATCATAAAACAGCGGGGACACCTCGACATGAGCTGTTCCAGAAGTTGCGCACCCTCAATCAGCCTATCGCTTCTCGCCTCCAGGTTCACCCTGGTCGGGTCTCTTCACAAGTAGGAACTAGCAGACGCTCTTGCCTGTCCCAGTCACATGCCTCATACGCCCAGGTTGCTAATCGATTTTCCCTCCTGGGCAGCCTTGACACTGACGGAAACTCATCCACGGATACAGATATGGACGCTCAGTCTCGGCCGGAGCCTAGCACTCGTCACCTTCCTGCCTCTCCTCAAAGAAGCCAACACCGGCGTCGTCGACACACCCATCGATCAGGAGGTACTGCTCCAACAGACAGTCCTGATGATCCTCTGGTCCCCCAGGCACTTTCCCAAGGGATTGTGACACCGGGGGAACATGAGGCCCAGAGTGAGGCTCCCACCAGTCGCAGATGCCGTCAAGAGAGTTCGCGAGCCGACCACCGCTTCCGTCAGGCAGAGAGAAGCATAGATCAACATCCTCTGGACTGGAAGTCATTGATACCACACATTTTACTTACTTTGTATGAGGGTTTTATGGCTTTTTCTAGTGGTTCCCCCTTTGGAGACGTCTGTGCACTGGTGGTCAAAAAGTTAGCTGTTGTATTTCAGGGATAATGGCGCCCCATCCTGAGAATACTGTAGTGTTTTGGAATGCCCGCTCCCTTTTAAGAAGACGCAATTTTTACGCAATTTTGATTCCACCCCGCGTCCATGGACTCGTCATCATTCTCGACTCCTCGACACTGCTATCACTCGTCTCCGGATTGGGCACACTTGCCTGGCCGCACATCTCCATCGTCTACGGCTGGTAGATTCCCCATACTGCTAGTGGTGTCCGACCTAGGAGGATACAGTGGAGCACCTTCTTCTTCACTGCCCTCGATTTCATAGCGTTCGCGTCAGACTACAGAGTGCTGTTCGTAGGCTGAATATTCCCCGCCTCACAGTTCCCGTTCTCCTTGACGGGGCAGGTGCGAGAGATGAAGACGTTCGTCATGACATCCTTCGCCATACCTTCCGCTTCATCCGTCATGCCTGAAGAGACTTAAAATTTGTAGCCTGAGGAGATTGTAGGGTCTATGGCCTGAAGAGATTATAGGGACCCCATCCCTCCGCTATTTCCCCGTATCGGGCAGCCAGGGCGCATCCGATCCCACGATCGTCGTCGCCCCTAAATCAACACAACAACAACAACACGCCATTGGCGGAGCGCCGATGTAACCCTTTCCACTACCGCCCACAAGATAGGTATGGGGTGCATAATAAATGAATGAACCCTGTTGACGCCCGAACATTTAACTGACAACAACAACAGCCGGACATTTAAACAGTTAACAGTCCGATCCTTCCTCTCCTGGCAGGAGGACATTTGCATTTGAGTAAGTATTACATAAACAACTTGTTGAATTGTCTGTAGAAGTGTAACAACTTTGACAATTTTTAATTATTTACTACATTTTTGTTACATAGTTAATCCTGTTATACATAGCATGTTTTTGAGTCGTTTAACAGTGGAGATAAACGACTTGCCCGAAACGCTATGCATGCTAGTGGCTGTACAAGAATGTAAGAACTCTTGTATAAATAAAAAAAATTGTCGCACGAGATCAGGTTGTATTGTATGTATACATAAATGTCACGTGCTTGGCTGCACCATTATTTATTTACCCGAATTTACCTGAGGGCCACAATCTCTCTTATGATTTCGACGTGGAAAGGAAGCCGGCGGTCTGTCGAAGGTTCCCCCCTTTTCCAGCTGGATTTTGAACCGCAGTAAATAGGTATTTACGGCTTCGGGGGGGGGATGGTTCAATGAGTTTTTTTTTATATATAATTCCGAGTGAAAAAGCATTTGTTTCTGTCCTACTCTGTGGCTTGTTGACCTTGAAGGCGTTATTCCTTTAATGGGGTACATTTCACCTATTAAATAAAACACTTAACTATATGTTTAACAGATATCTCTAAACCAAGGAAAATTCCACCTAGATTGGAATTATGTATGTCTTTAAGCAGAAAAGGTTCAGAAAAAAATTATAGACCAGAGTAATTTCATGTCCCCCCCCCCTCCCTGTATCAAAGAATGGAGACCAAGTATGTCCTGTTCAACAGGACATATTTGCTTTGGAAAAAGTTCAACGTAAAGCAACAATTCAGTAGAATTGTTAGAGCACATACGCAATAGAACTATTGCGATATTATAGCTGGTATTTACCAGAATTTATCTGAGAGCCACCATCTCCTTAGTGGCCTCGACGGGGACATTGGCAGCTTTGGCGGGTAGGTGGTTCCATGCGGTTCATAACCCTGTAGGTGAAGAAGCCTCTCCTGTTTTCTGTCCTACACTGTGGCTTTAGTTAGAAGTTTTTAACCATGTATGCGTTGCATTTGACCTTTTAAAGAAGTGGTCTGGATTAATATCCTCCAATTTGTTCAATACTTCAAAAGTCTCATTGAGATTAGCCCCGTCAAATCTGGTTTGCAATCTTGTTAGTCCTGTGGCCTTTAACTGATCCTGGTATGAGAGTTGGCTTAGTACTAGGAGGATTTTGGTCGTTCTGTGATGAACTTTCTCCAAAGCAAATGCGTCATTTATTAGGCGAGGTCTCCATGCTTAGATGCAATAGTCCAAATGGGGTGCGCCAGAGACTTTAACAGTTGAATAACGTTTTTTTTCCTTGAAAGTTTGTTTACTATTCCTAAAGTTTGATTTTTTTTTACTGCTGACCCACTTGTGCAACTTTCAATAACTGGTGGATCCTAACTTATATCCTTTTCTTCATCATTCTGGTGCATGGTAGTGTTGATGATATGATAGTTGTGGTGTGTATTGTTATGCCCTACGTGCCAGGTCATCTATTTTTTCAATATTAAAAGCATTTGCCAGTCTTCTGACCATTTGCAGAATTCATTAGGATCTCTTTGTGAGGCCTCAATAACCCTTTCGCTACCTACTTTACTATAGATCTTATGGTACAGTAGGAAGTTAATGTAAAAAAAATATTTATAAATAGGATGATCTGGGTTTTAATATTTTAATCCATGTAATTGATGTGCTGAATATAAAAAAAGATTGGTTCCAAGTTAGAACCTTGCGGGACCTCACTCGCCACAATTTTCTAGTCAGCTTCATTTCCATTTAGGACGACCCTTTTCTTTCTTTGTTTTGATTATTGTTTTATTCATTCTAGTGCTTTACCATTTATTCCGTGTGCTTGTAATTTCCATCCCAGTCTTTCATGTGGTACCTTATCTAAAGGTTTAGCAAAGTCCATGTATATTATGTCTACTGAAAGTTCTTTGTCAGAATAGCTGGCTACCTTTGTCTGATTAGCTGATCAAGACATGGAAGTAAGTAATTATCAAAAGAAGGCACCAATCCGGGAAGGCTATGTAGCACCATCTCAAGACATGGAAGCATAGTAGGAAAATTTTACAATGGTCATCATTGAACTTGTTGCAAAAAAAATACGCGCCAAGAAAGAGAATGAAACGAAAGAGAACTGGACGAATGACAAAGCTAATTAAAAAGCTCTAACAACTAAGCACAACCTCTGGAAATGTTCTCCTTCTCTTCCCCCCTCTCCACCACCTCTCTATTAATCACAACTAACCTTTCGCTGGAGTGGTCTGGATCAATATCCTCCAAATTGTTCAGTATTCTACAAGTTTCTAAGACATCAGCCCTGTCTTTCGTGTCTGGTTTGCAGTGTTGTTAGCCCCGTGGCCCCTCAACCGTTCAAGGTATGAGAGTCGACTTGGTTCAGGAATGATTTTTGTTGCTCGATGTCGAATTTTCTCCAAAGCAGATCTGTCATTCTGAAGATGATGTCTCTGTGTTTGGATATAATAATCTAAGTGGAGTTGCACCAGAGATTTGATCAGTTATATACTTACCTTTTCTTCCTTAAGTTAAAGTGTCGTTTGACTATTCCTAGGATTTGGTTTCCTTTTTTTTTTACTGCAGCTTTCACTTGATGTACAACGTTCAGTGACTGGTGGAGTCTGACTCCAAAGTAATTGACTTCGTCATATTGCTGCAAGTAATGTTGTCGATTTGAAAGTTGTGGTCCGCGTTATGTCCCACATGGAAGGACTTGCATTTTTTTGATTGAAAATCACTGCTAATCTTCCGACTCTTCTGGAGTTTATGTAGATCTATTTGTAAGGCCTCAATATCATTGTCATTTCCTAAGAAGAACTCGCATCACGTGAATGTAATTTTTTTTGTGCGCTGTCACTTCCTACTTTATCATAAATTTTAGGGTCATCTGCAAATTTGCTTATGTGGTTTGAGATATGTCAATGATGTGTATGTCATATATGTATGTCATTGATGTATATGACAAGAAGGGTTGGCCCCAAAATGGACCCTTGCGGTACTCCTCTCACCACATTTCTCCAGTCAGATTCATTTTCATTTAGGACCACACTTTGCTTTCTTTATTTTAGCCTTTGTTTTATCCATTCTAGTATTCTACCATTTATTCCGTGTGATTGTACTCTCCTTGCCAATCTTTCATGTGGTACCTTATCAAAGGCTCCAGTGAAGCCCATGAAGTCAGGAAAGGAAATTCCTTTGTTTTGAGCGTTTTGAACACGCTTCCTTTCGTGGTTGCTTTTGGCTGATCTAATTTCCTGGGTGATTTCGTTTAGTTTATTTATTATGCACCCCATACTGATCCCGTGGGCGGCAGTGGAAAGGTTACAGAGGCACATAATGGGTTCAGGGACTGTGCCCCGAAATTCATTTAGCTAAGTAAGTTACCGTTTTGATAAGCTAGTTACAAAATTTAATGTATATTGTTATGTCAACAATTAATGGATTCGAGACCGGCCACAAGTACAGTCTCTTAAGTTGTCCTTATGTGGTGAGTTAGTGTTTTAATTGATAAACCCTGTACACCGCCACCATCCAGTGGGCAACGGTGGAAAAGTTGTGATGGCGAAACGAAAATGTCCATAGAGTTGGCAAGCAGGGGATGGAAGAACGGGGCGAGGCTGCAGAAATCTTGAGCAAGGATCTGGAGATGAGGTGAAGAGGGGAGATGAAAGATCGGTGGCCCATCCACCTGGGATTTGAACTTGATCAGATGGAAGTAGGATTGAGTAGGGCGTCATTTGCAGTTACAATCACCCACATTTACTACCTACAGTTAACAAACTGGAGATATTTGGTTAAAATTTCTGGTAACAGGTAATTTTGAATGAAATATTTATACATTTCTTAAACACTTGCTATAGAGCTGTCTCTAAGTTCATATATCTTTCCGCACCCTATCACATGGTGATGAGGGTGTGCGAATGATTTAGATGACATTTACATTTGGTCAGGTCTTCATCAGAAGGTAATGACAAGAACCTGTTATCTTGCCCTGTTATAAGTGACTTCAGACCAAATAGTATGAAGTACTTTGAGCTCTTTAATTACTTCCATACACTTAGGAATATTGGAAGATATTCCTGTGCTGGACCCAGATTTTACTAGTGGAGTATAATAGGCCTTACATTTCATGTTCTCTTCTGATTTAAAAAAAAAAAAGGTAATGCAAATTCACAGAGATACTTAGATTTGAGTCTAAGCTGAGCAGTAGTAACAACTAAGAGTCTGCTGATTTTATTGGATATCCATAGATGTGTGGCTCTTCCTGCATGATAGTGTGATAAATTGACAATAGATGGAATTACTGGCGTGTATTTCACTTTGCCTCAGATCTACAAGGTTTATTTGATGTTCTTGGTGTATTATTGTTGTCAAGATTGCTTAAAGCCAATCCAAGGACATAATCAACTCCTTTACTGAAGGCAGATTCTTTAACTGACTCATGAGCTCTGTCATGCACATGGAGGATACTTCATATGATGCAATTTTAATTCCTGAACTGGTTTTGAATGCTACTATTTGGAAACAGTACACCAGTAGCTTGAAGACTGAGAGGCGACACCAAAGAACTGAAGCTGAACCACCTCCCGGATGCACAATTAGAGAATTGTCTGAATAACAGTGCTGGACATGCTGCTATGGCTGTATGTCCACTCACAGGATGAGTGGCGCTGCCCAATAAACTCACCCCTCGGAGCAAAATTAAAAAAAAAATTAAGATTAGCCTGTCCACTCCTTCTAAGACGACCACCAGCAGCAGCAGCACGGGCCGGCCGGAGGGGGATCAGGTCGTGCTCCCCTGCCGGGTCGTGGCGACGCCCCGATGCTCCTCTGTCGCGTCACGGAAATAACACTAATTCTCGCCAGACGCTGTGGGAGGAGATGTTTGTGCTTTCTCCGGGTTTCTCATAAGGTTAGTGGCTGATATATGGCGCATTTTGACAATGCTTCCGTGTACGGGGAGTGGGAGGGAAGTGAGGAGGGCGTATGTAGTAAAATATATAATCTAGGTGAGAGAATAGACACGATTTACGACGAATTCCCCGTGGTTGGACAAAGGTTTCAGCTAACCTTAGCTTCCGTAACTTAACTTTTATTTTGTCTTCTCTGGAATTTTAAGCATGTCTCGTTAGATGGGCAGTTTTATCTCGCTCGTAGGTAGCTCTTGGTGTCAGTAGATGTGTATAGTGCATCAGTCAAATACTGTGCAGTGTGCAATAACTTTCTGAGTTGGAGGATTTCAGAATTTGCCATCGGGAATCCTGTAGGCCATCTGTGGTATTTGTAGTGCTGTCTAGCATATTGGTTTTCCCCTGACCTAGATTTGGTTCAATGTTTAATATGGATTGGAATCTATAATTATTGAGTTGGGAGTCCTAAATGCTCTCAGTTTGGGTGTAGACCTACATGACCAGGAGCTATCACTATGAAGAAGGTTTAACTAACCTAATGGCATACAGGTTAGTCTGTACCCAAGATAGATAACATATTTTAAAACTTTGTCTTACCTAACTCAACCCAGCCTAACCTAACTCAACCCAGCCTAACCTAACTCAACCCAGCCTAACCTAACTCAACCCAGCCTAACCTAACTCAACCCAGCCTAACCTAACTCAACCCAGCCTAACCTAACTCAACCCAGCCTTACCTAACTCAACCCAGCCTTACCTAACTCAACCCAGCCTAACCTAACTCAACCCAGCCTAACCTAACTCAACCCAGCCTAACCTAACTCAACCCAGCCTAACCTAACTCAACCCAGCCTAACCTAACTCAACCCAGCCTAACCTAACTCAACCCAGCCTAACCTAACTCAACCCAGCCTAACCTAACTCAACCCAGCCTAACCTAACTCAACCCAGCCAGGGGTAGGTTGAGTTAGCTTAACCAGGCTAACCTGATAGTATACTGTACAGTATATAGTTTCTTAATGGGACAATGTTGAAATGGTTGTATATGATTTGACAATATCCCAGCTGATAGTGACTATGTTGATCACAAGCTTATGAGTGTTGCACTTATTGGATGCTGTTAAAAAAAAGTCTTCCTTTCTTTTATATATTTACATGAGTAAAGTATAAAAATATTGGCAATTTATTCTTCAATAATATTACACCAACTTCATTATTATTCTTTGAATGCGACAATCTCTGCAAAAGGGTAACAATCAAGTGATGGTAGGATTTTTACTCCTTAGCTTAGGTTCTGGTATTATGAAATACAGGTAGGTAGTTACACAATTAGCCACCCCATTTCCAACTTGCTCCTACCTAACCTAATCAGTCACCCAATAACCTAATTGAATCTCATCTAATCATATCTTAACCTAATGTGTCAAGAAAAACATGACCAGCCTCGGTAGATTTGATAGTTTTAATTTTTTTATATATACTGTACTGTATATACAAACATTCTTACACTCTTGTACAGCCACTAGCACACATAGCACTTCGGGCAAGTCCTTAATCCTAATTTACCCCGGAATACGACCCACCGAGTCGTTTAAAAACCAGGTACCCATTTTACTGTTGGGTAAACAGAGGTTATAGTTAAGGATTGGCCTTAATCCTTAAGGCCAAGTAAATCCTCCCCGGCCAGGATACGAACCCAGGCCAAAGCGTTCGCAAAACGCCAGACGAGTGTATTACCATTTCACCAGGGGGACTGTGGTGGTGTGGTGGATAATATACATGTATTGATAAATTATCAATAACAAGGTTGTTGGCTAAATAATGAACTGGAAATGGGATGACTCCTCATGATACCAGAGTAAGTACCTGTACAGTATTTGCACAACTTCTTATGACACTAATACTAATGTGGTAAAATAAGAAATGTGGATATGTCACTTCATTATTAAGATGTTTTAATTTAATGTGAAACATTAGAATATTTCATAAAATTATATCCGTTTGATTAGTTATCATTTAAATGACACTAACTCATGATTAATGTTACTGTGTGATATTTACCTGGAGTTTATCTGGAGTCAGTTTCGAGAGTTGTTCTGCTCCCCAGCTCAGTCTGGGGGCCATGCTTGTCTTAGGATAACTTTATATAAGAGGATTTAAGGGATGGCCTGATAATAGCCATCCCAGCCAGGCTGATCTAGTAACTCCAACAAAAACTTGCCCAGTTATCCCTTAAAAACTTTCACTGTTGTTCCAGCATCATTTCTTATAATTGTTGACAAGGGATTGAAAAGTTGTGGGTCTTTGATGGTTACTGTGTGTTCTCTAGCTTATTGTACCCAATCTTTTATTGGATATATTTTACTCTTCATATCATTTCTCACTCCAGTATGTATTAATTTTATTGTTCAGGTTTGGAATCTGACATTTCAGTATTTTCCATGTGAATATTATGAGATGTCTCTTGTCTATGTTCAAAGGAGTACAGTTTGAGGTCTTTGAATCACAGTACAATATTGACCTCGTAAAATCATGGTAAAAAATAAATTTAAATCGCCAATAAATCCTTTGAATCCTGATAAACTACACCCTGCAAAGGATGGTCAGCTGAAACCAAAGTCCCGTGATGATGAAAACCCATGAACAACCCATCAGGCAGAATGGCAGAGACAAAGGATGACTAGTGACATTAAAAATAAAACTCCCCAGAAAACCACAGTGGCAGCAGGCTCGTAGGGAGGATTGAGGCCAAACTAGTATCAAATGAGACTTGTGGGGGAACACTGACATCAAGTTGGGGTGACCGGATGAGAGGTCCGGTACTGTACTTGGAATTTGTGCTGTACTCCTGTGGTGATGGAAGGCGTAAGCTGGCATAAGAACTGGCTTTAAACTCGCCACACACCCCAAATACCAAGCAAACCCAAATCCGTTCAAAACACTGGGACCTGTAGAGTAGCCAAAGCCCATACATTACCTGGGGCAAGGTCCCTTGAAAGGAGGAAACCATCAGGAAGAGAGCCCTATAAAGGCAGGGGCAATAGCAGAAATGACTAGAGAAGGGAAGTCTAACCACAAGCAGTTGAGGTAAACAAATCTCGAGGCTTACACAAGAGTGAAGCTTAAAAAAACCCAGACATGAAGCAGAAAAATTGGAACTAAAGTTCAAAAGGATTGCCACCATTCAGCTTAAGTGAAGCCAGGAAGCGTTGATAAAGCACTAGGAGCTGTTGACAGAACTGCACCAGGTGCATGACTGAGGTGGACAGCCAGCAGGGGCCTGAGTTGCCAGGGCTGCCATCTGTTAGTGGGTGAGTATATCTGTCAGTTGTGTCTGGATAACAAGTGTTGTCATAACTGTATTAGGGTTACCAATGTTTCATGCAGCTGCATGTTTTGGGGTGCTCTACTTTTCTGGTGTTTTTTTCTTTTGTACTTGATTGATCTAGTATCCCCAGACTACCTTGCCTCTGTTGAGGAGGCCAGATTTTGGTCTTGGTCCTTAAAAGGAGCTCATAAATCATAAGGACCTGGTGGGGTATTATAGGCTTCGAGCTAACCTGGCAGGTAGCTTGAGGAGTCACCTATGGCAGGCCTTCTAGAAAGGGGATACTGTATTAATAGTGTAAAATGTGTAAACAAAATAGAACACAAAACAATGGATACAAATTAAAGGTATCCATTTAAGTTTAGATTCAGAAAAAAATCTGAGTAAATTCTGGTTTGGAAATGGGATTGATGATTTGTGGAACAAGTTATCAAATAACATAATAGATGTTGAGCAGCTGGATTGTTTCAAGTGATGGTTAGACACATTATACAGTACTGGTATATGATTGAGTTTGATTGAACAGGAGCTACCACATGTACAACAATAAGCCTTATGCAGTTTCCTTTATTATATTATTAAGCACTGGATCTTCATGAACTGTTATTTTTTTTAAGATATATACCTATAACTTAATTTTTTTTGCTTTGCACAGGGCAGTTAGAGAGAGCATTGTGTGCCATGACCTAGCCATGACCTCGCAGCAGTATATCAAGTCCTCCCAGAATTGTGCCACTCCAAATGACAACACAATTATCAACTATAACCACAACAACCTTGCACACACCCAGGGTTAGTCTTCAGTGAGAGTGAGAGAGAGAGTGAGTGAATGTAATCACCTAGTTGTGCTTGTAGAGGTTGAGCTTTGGTTCTTTGATCTCGCCTCTCAACTGTCAATCAACCGGTGAACAGATTCCTATTAGGCTCTATCATATCAACATTCGAAACTGTGTATGGAGTCTGCCTCCACATCCTAATGCATTACATTTGTTAACTACCCCTGACAGTTAAAAAAAAAGTTCTTTCTAGTATCACTATGGCTCATCTGGATACTTGGTTTCCACCTGTGGTCCCCTTGTGCATGTGTCCCCTGTGTTAAATAAGTGTGTGTGTAATTACCTAAGTGTAGTTACAGGATGAGAGCTATGCTCGTGGTGTCCCGTCTTCCCAGTACTCTTTGTCATATAACGCTTTGAAACTACTGACAGTTTTGGCCTCCACCACCGCCTCACTTAGTTTGTTTCAACTGTCTATCACTGCAACAGAAAACTTTTTTTATGTACACCCATTTGTATCTTTAGCTTAACTAGGCCTATAGGCTAAAGATATTTTTATATGGCAAAATGTAAAATGATGAATTGAACTTCTATAGGATTTATGTATGGCCAGAGCTTCAGCGGAAGTGAGACAGACGTGAGTACATCAACTGAAAATCTGAGTCCAGAAGAACGCTATGCTTTAGAGCACACTCAACGACAAGAACCTCAGGGCCAAGAGAATGTTGGGAGTACTCTTAACAATATGGCTAGTTCACAGCTCTCTCGGTCATCAGGAGTGGTGACAAGTGGGACTTCCACTGCATCCACTGCAAGATCTAATGAGTAAGTTTTCAATGGATTTTCACTTCTATTTTTGGCACAACCTGGTACAGCAACTCTCATGAAGTAGTATCCTTTCTGGTCAAAAACTAAATACCTGTATTAAATTTAGTGGAACACTTGCATAGCTTGCATTGTTACTATTTAGATCTTCAAGGGCTTGTTGCACCAGTATGTATTGAACGAAACTGTGTCAAACTCAAAATGGAAACGAACCATAGAATTATGTTTAACTATGCTCAATGACTCTTACATGCCTCCCACTTCTTTAAGTGTGCCTATTTATGTAATTTTTATAAAACGTCTTGTACTAGATGACTGAGCTTAAACATTTTTTAACATACTAGTTTCAATAGCAAAACACTTGAAAAAAAACTTGTAAGAAAAACCTGAGCAAACCCCAGTGGCCTTGTTGGAAGTGGAAGTCATATTTAGTGTTATATAACAAATTTATGTACATAGTTTAGTGTATTCTACCATTCAGAATTGACTCATCTTCATTATGGTGTTTGTTCAACCTTATTGCTTTAATTATAATCACATTCACTTTTTTGAGTTTCATGATCATAATGCTCTGAGTTTTCAGTTAAAGTGTGCAGAGAATAAATCACAATTAGCTGGCTAAAATAACCCAACCCACATATATGAAGTCCCCCTTACAAATCCTCTTGCTATCTGTTGACTTGCTCCCCCACTCTTTCGTTTCTTTTCATGCGTGTGAATTAGGTTAATCAGGCAAAGTATTAATTTGATAGGCTTGATAGAGTTCAGCTTTTCCTCAAACAATGAAAACCCTTTTCAACACTGGTGTTATTTCACACTCATATCGTTGATTATCTTAAAAATTGTTCAATTTTTTTTTGGCCTTATTATAAACTTCATTCACACTATCTTAATTGTTGAGTTATCAAGTCTTGAGTTAGAAACAAGAAGCACATTTTAAATCGTTGGAACATGAATGTGTAACCCTGGGGAGGTGTAATATATAGTCGCTCAGGGTAAGCACTGTTTGTTCTCTCCTGATACCCATTATAGGGTGTGGATCTCCACCGACACATTGGTCAAAAGAGTTCCATTGTGTTGACATAAAAACTGGAGATCAGTTGACAGTAAAAGACATAAGCAAATTGATCACTGTGAATAATGGATAATGCTAAAGTTGTCATTGGACCCTCTTTGAACTAAATGCACCTTCATTATTGTCAATGAATATATTAATACAGTGCACCTTGTTTTTAATACACTTATATTGTTATTAATGCAATTATATTTTTATGTAATGTATCAACATTTTTGTTAATGAACCTTTTGTTCTTTTGTCTTAAATAATTTCTGTGTGGTGTTTGTTCTGTGTTTTATTGTCACGATGTCAGTCATCTCACTGCCTGCCTTTTCAAGTGTACTGTAATTACTTTTCCAGCTTTTGTTTTCATTTATTTAATTTCACAATTACTGTACTGTACTTTGTATTTATTTCTTCCAGTTGCAATGCATCCATCAGTAGCAGCACCAATACACTTATAATTCATAACTCGGTTAGTGACGACCTCTGGAATTATAGATGGACTCCTGGGGGATACTCCACTCCAATGGCTGGCAGGAAATCAATGTAAGTGTGAAAAAAAATAATAAATACCATTCGATAGTGTATATATGTACTAAATATTACTTTTGTTTTGTATCTAGGCCAATGTTCTCATTTTAAAATTTCATGTAGAGCACAGTAGATGCCTTTGGAAACATTAGATTTCTAAATAAAAAGTTGAAGGGTTTTTGTGTATGGTGTAGAAAAAATACTAATTGGCAATGTTGTTCTGGTTATTAAATTTTTCTGGGGATGCTTTTCTTGAGATGGTGACCTCTTGTAAGATTTCTTCCAGACATTTATTCTTCCATATGAAGAATACAGTATATAAAAAATACTGTACAATATATAAAAAAAAAATGCAGCATATGCTCAATTAAAAAAGAATTGAATTGAATTGGTTTTAAATATATTATAAAGCATTGCACTCTATAATAATTTGTTTGGAATGGTAATCCAATGACAAATCCGTTATTCCTGCCGCCATAATCATGGAAATCTTACTAGGCATGGATGTTTCTCGTACCCAGCTAAATAAATGGCTAATAGTGTATAGTGCATCCACACCAAAAGAAATAAGACATGGTTACTGGGACTTGTGGCTGCTCTTATGTAATGCACTTAGTTTACAGCAAAGTAAAAAGAAGGAAAAAAAGACTTAATGCAAAACCATAAATATTATTTAGAAACTTTTACCATATTCATGTACAGGTATTGTGCAATGCCTTGCAATGGGAAGGAAACAGTGCCTTTGTCTGTATATGCCTGGTTGAAACTTCAATGGGGGGACAAAAGTTAACTGATTTATTAATTTTCACTTATTTAATGTGCATTTTCTTTTTATTATTTTTATTTTTATTATTATTATTATTATTATTATTATTATTATTATTATTATTATTATTGTCATTTCTTTTTAAGATTTGTAGAAGTAAGATTAAAAGTTGATAAATTAAAAATCTGTTTCTTTCTGTTACTTTGAGGTACTAAATAATAAAATGGTAAGAGTAATTAGTTCTTCTATGCTGACTTGTGACTACCAATAGCTGTGCTAATATTAATTGTAATATAATGTTGTAGAAGTTAGTTATAGTTTGTGTATTCTGTTTTCAGGTCTTCGAGTCTCCTTGATGGCCAAGAGAGGGGACCTCCCTTGTACAATTCTCAGATTCACCCACTCAATATGGAATCTCTCAAACTGAACTCGTCACTCCTCAACTCGTCTACGCTTGATCCTTCGGCCATCAATTCCAATCTACTCGCATCCTCGTTGAATTCTTCCATCTTGGACTCCTCAGCATTGGCCCAAAAAGCATCTGTGCCTTCTTACCTTAGCCAAAACAATATTCCAGGGTCACCCAAGTTCTCTTCCCATGCTGCCATGAAGTATCAAACTGCCACAGATTTACCAGATATCCCTTCCTCATATTTAGACCAATCTGAGGTACTTAAACATCTTCTAAAACATGAGGGCAAAGGAAGTGGATGTAGTGACCAGAGTGCTTCCAGTTCTAATAGTGGAATCAATTTGGCAACTGAAGGTGCTGGAACAATGATGAGGGATCTGTCAAGAGCTCCATTGTTTTATGATTTGGATTGCACTGTTAACTATGACTTAATGACTCTGCCGCCTCCACCAGCATACCCTGTGTGGAGATTGAAAGAGCCTGAAAAACACGAGCAACAAGGAGAATTAGTAAAGCACGGAATGGAAAAGTCACATTTGTCAAAGTCACAACCAGATCTTACCAAGTTGAATAATGCCAAAGAAGCCACTAGTCCAAAGGAACTGCTAAGCCAGAGGTAAGTTTTAGTTATGTGCATTAAATTATACAGTATTCTGACTTATTAAGAAGGATGTGTTTCATAGATAAAAACATGTGCATGTTTTTAAATAATGGTCACTATCAATTTTATTTTATTTTTGAGCAGAGTTGTGTCTGGACAAACTGACATTGCAGATAGCCCTATGCAGGAAATGGCTGATATTTTAGTTCAAGAAAACAGTGCTCTGAAAATGGAAGTGGATATGTACCACAGGAAAGTTGCCAAACTTCAAAGGGTAGGTGTTATTTATTGTACCACTGTTAAAATATTATATTATTATAGATGCTTATTCAGTTGTTCCCCCCCCCCCCTAGGTTATAAAAAGTGCTTCAGCCTTAGTTGGGGAAGCATGGCCCCCTTTCATTCCCACATTGGCTTTGTTGCTGTCCACTGGTGTAGTAGAGCATGGCATTTTTGTATCTCCACATTGTCTCTTCTTGTACACTGATAAAGCTGAGCATGATCTCCTTTGCACCTTCACTGTGTTTCTGTTCCTGTTCATTGTTGCCAGAAAATGACCTCTGCATCATCACCCATTTCTCTTGTTTTGTACATTAGTGCAAAGAAACATGGCTTCCTAGAAATTCATCTTTGGTTCAGCCTCTATTATGTTCTATCCATAGGACAATTAGTGAATATTAAATGGGTTTATTTTGGATAGAGCCTTATGGTATGTATATCCTAGTCTTTGTTTAGTTTGTTGACCAAACCTTCGTCCCTTCACTTTCTAGTGTGTGGTTTGGTCAACATATTTCAGCCACGTTATTGTGACTCCTCGTATGCATTTGTTTACTTTATTTATGAATTGTCAGAGATTGGCATCACATAATAATCTTAAATACCTGACCAACTGTATTAAACTAATTATTATCTCAATGGTTAATAGGAAAACTTCTCATGATTAGGAAGTAATGTACAGGTAATTGACATTAATATACTCGGCATAATGGGTGGGATAACAATTATTAAGAGTCTAGGAATTTGCTGAGAAATTGATTATTGAATAACAACGTGGGTTTCAAGGTGGAAAAGGATTTATTGATGACATATTTGCACTGAGACAGCTTGTAGAGAAGGCATGCAATAAAGATTTAGGAAAGGCATGTGACAAAGTTAATAGATAAGGAATTTGATGTGTAAATGAAGTTTGGAAAGTATTGTTGAATTTAAAGTTTCTATAGAAAGTAATGCATATGCAAAAGGTAAAGGTGTAATGAGCGATTGTTTTGATATTACTGTAGGTGTACACCAGGGTTGTATGATGTCACCTAGGAAGCTCAGTATACTAAAGAATGGTGTCATGAGGGAGGTCAAAGTAAGAATGTCGCGAGAAAATTGTTAACCTAGAGTACAATCTTTACGGGAATAATGGAATTATGTAAAATATGATTCATGCTGATGAAAGTTCTTTTAGCAGAGAGTGAGTGAGATTTATGTAGACTAGTTGAAATTTGTATTTAAGGTGTAAATTTGGACGAAAAGCAAAGCTATGGTGGGGGAAGAGAGGTAATTCTGTGTGGAAAATAAATGTGAATGGTGCAGTGCTTTAAGTGGTCATTTAATTTAAATTTCTGTGATGTGTGTTTGACAAATGGAATTTATATAAGTTAAAAGAAGGGCAAGTTTTTAAAGAAAAGTGACCAGTGAAATGAAAATCTTGGTTAGAAATACACGCATTATAGGAATAGATTCACCTAAAGCACTGCATGAAGAAATGGTACCAGCGACCCTAATGTTCGAATACATGATTATGGAGTGGAATGAACGTGGGCAAATCAAGAATTAGTGCAGGAGAAGCATGTGTGGTATTAAAACATTTTGAGAAGCATGTGTGGTATTAAAATTGAGTAAAAATTCAAATGTAAAATGTTTTTCACAATAATTCGTTGTGAAAATCGATGATGCACTAGATTGAGGAGAGCTTAACAAGATTGTACAGTCAGGATAAATGAATGGATAATGATTTTTCAGTGACGAGATCTCATTCAAGTGAATTTATGGATTGGAAAGGATGATGATGAGAGGACTTGATGAGTAAGGATGAGGAAAATGGATCATGAAAAGCATCTTGTGTGGTAAGGGAAAAAGCTTGGTGAAAGCAGTTTCTGAGGAAGTGAATGTATTTGTATGACAATTCATGAGAACACTGTGCATCTGGTATTACGAAATAATAAGGTGCTGCTGCAGATGACGGCTGAAGTGTGGTGGTGCTTGGTTCCCATAATGCTATTTATGTAGTGTGAATATTTAAAAACAAATGGATGAGTTATTCTTGTTTTCTAATTTATGTCACTTCATTCACTATTACAGTATTCACATCTTTTTCATCATTCATTTAGACTGGTCGATACAGCGACGGCCTTGCTTGTAGGGTCGGTGTTTAATCCCCGTCTAAGTAGTTGAACACCAATCCCTCACTCGGTTCTCATCTCCCTTCCAAGCACTATACTATAGTTGGGATAATGGTAGTGAATGTCTAAGTTTAGTTATTTTGTACTCCCTAATTCAGACAGTGCCACCATCCCCCTACCCTCTGCTCCCTAAAAATAGTCTTAAAAACTTTCAGGAAGCCAGGCCTGGACAAATCTGGTACAGATCTAGGAGCCACCTTCAAAATGTAAGCACCAGGATGGATACCAATACGGTTTGGAATGTGTTGCATGCCTGTGGTTCAATGATATATAATGTTTAAATCCAAGAATATATATTTGAGCAAAAAAAAAAGTATGTTGCAGTTATGCCTTCACAAAATGACAGAAGTATATATATAAAATGTCTGAATGTCAATAAATTATTTATGCAATCTCCATGTATCTTCTATGGCCATGTTTTTGATTACTGATGATCCATTTGTGTTGATCATTTAAACTGTTAGTATTGATATCTACTCAAAAAATGTGAAGAATTGACCAATTATGTATTGTACCCTGTATTGAAGTTTTGAAGAGGGCACAAGGCCTGCATGTCGCAACACTTGAGTACAGAATGACGCAATTGGCTGTGGCCCAACTCTTGAGCTAACACTACAGTAGTTAGAAAGCCTCCACAGGACCAGCTCGCTTGTAATGTCATTGATATAATGTGCATGTGCAAACTTATTATGCAGGTGATGAGTCATTATAACGTGGCTGAAGAATGTTGACCAGACCACACACTAGAAGGTGAAGGGACGACGACGTACCGGTCCAGGACAGACCGAGACGTCGTCGTCGTCCCTTCACCTTCTAGTGTGTGGTCTGGTCAACATGTGCAAACTTATGTTTTATAAGTGAGACTGATAAGTTGACAGTATGCTACAAGTATCTTTTTTGTTGCATATTAAAGTGTCATGATTTCATTTCTGGTAATTTGGCTATAGGGATTTGTCAGGCCACAGGGATCAAATAGTAAGATGTTAGAATGTTAGTATTTTGATTTAATTCTATTTTTTAAATAAATTTTGGGTAGAAAAGTTTTAAACTAATTTAGTAACCCTTGTTGAGATAATAGTTTTAGCTTAACTATAATCATTTTTGGGGAATTTTGTGAAATCTTGAGAAGGCCTAGGTGTATTGTTTTAAAGCTTAGAATGCATACATATGATTGAACTTGGACTACTTGGACTAAGTACTGTAATTTCGGTCATCATATGGGAGATGGCGGGTGCTACAAATTTGAGCGATATCTGCAATATATCAGCTTTACTGCATCAAAATTTCTGTGCACTTTTCCCTGATGTTGTGGCATATTCCTAATAGTCTCTATTTGAATTGTTGCCAAATGAAGTTTTATGCTACTCTTCCATTTTTGGAAATGGAGGAGAGGAGGCTTTCTTTTTGTTTATAAATACCACCTTGTATATACAATATTTTATTAATATATATTATGATAATACAGTAAATCTATATACAATTATTATAGGGAGTCCAAAAGTTTTAAGGGGGCCAGTGAGTTGGTGATGGGAAACATGCTGATAAATCCATATCTGACTACAAATAATTATTAATTTTAAACTACTGGCTGGCTACTGACTAGTTGGTTGGCTGGTTAATTGACTCATTGGTTGGCTGGTTAATTGACTACAGGGTAGTTGGTTGGCTGGTTAATTGACTACAGGGTAGTTGGTTGGCTGGTTAATTGACTAGTTGGTTGCCTGGCTGGCTTATTGATTAATGCATGACTGGCTAGCTGGTTAATTGACTAGTTGGCTGGCTGGCTTATTGACTTGTGCATGATTGGCTGGCTGGTTAATTGAGTAGTTGATTGGCAAGTTAGTTATTAGTTTGGGTTACGGGTTGGTTGGCTAGTTAGCTAATAAACTCTTTAGCTTTCCTACCTTTCGCCACACGCTCGATTGTAAATGCTTTGTCCCCTTTGGGGGCCCTACTCAGCAGTGGCTAAAATGTTTACACTCGCTACATTTTCCAAGCTATTATTTGCATGATAACTATAAATTTTGGGTCAAAATATTTGCAAATGAATGTTCTACAATATAGATACAAAAAAAAATTAAATAATGAAATGCTTCTTTCTGGTGGGTCTCTCGATGGCTCCCTGTAGCTAACCACCTAGATAACTCTACACACATCACGTCACACCAGGCCTTTCCTAGTCATAAAAAAACCTATCGGAGACCAGAGACCAAACCCTGGTCCCCTCAGAGGTGCATGGAGTAAGGGATGTTAGATCATCCTGAGAGAATCAGCCACCAGAAAGGTAGAGCAAAACAAAACATACAACAAGAAGGAAAATATGAACAAACTCTGACAACTAGGAACACAACATTTAGGTCATTCCTTTGCTACTTACACCCCTTTACCACCAGGTGGCTGCCTGAGGAGCTACTGACTCCCTTATGAGGGGGAGCTTTTGGTTTATGTGTATAAAAAAATTGGAAATTTGCACACAATTGGTCTATATAACCTTAGAAAGGAAATAAACATTAATACTTTTCAGCCAGGCACTTTGCAAAGCAAATAGAAAATATGAACTGGCAGGGCAAATATTGCCTTGAGTGATGGGTTGATTGGCAGAGGTGCACTCCAGTTGGTTTACTGATAAGATCTGCCTACACCATGCTCATGTACAATATTTCGAGAAATTTCCCCTTAAAACTGCAAATAAAATGGTTAAGGAAGCGAGTTTGTAAACTCCAAAGTTGTACAGCACATTTTAGTGTCATCAGAATATTTACTGTTGAGGTACTGATTTGAAAACACATTCAAAGAATTAAACCAAGTAATTTATTTTTATGTGATTTTGATTTCAAAATAGGTGTAAAAGCATGTAATATTGGTTTACACTAATATAACTAATTTTAGGCATATAATTGTGAATATATTTTGGAATAGAAAGGGTCTGTAACAGTTTTTTCTATTTAAGAATCCATTGTTAAATTGTCTTAATATTATTTGTTTTGCGAGATATGCATAGTACAGTAGTTTTCTATTATAGAACAACGGGAAACTACATCGTGGATGTAGTTTTCCATTGTTGGGGGGACAGGAAATCCTGTTAGGTTCAACGAGGACCCTTAGGCCAACAACTGACCTTTCTGAGGAGTCAGCCCTCAACAGTTGCCTCATTTCCTGGCACCTGTTTACTGCTAGGTGAACAGAGGCATCAAGGGGAAGTAACGTACCCATGTGTCTTGTCCTACGTGTTAATCAACTCCCGAACAATTGCTGATGTGGTGTATCCTTGAGAAGGGAGAGTAATTGAGGAAATATAGCTATTAGATCTTTACTTTAAAAAAAATATCTGAAGAATATTTGTGTGAAAATTTGTTATTTCCCAAATCACTCAAATGTAAAGGGCAAGCATGAGTATAACATTACTTAGTTCTTGTTTTTGTCTTTCTCAGTTTGAAATGGAAATTATCAAGGTTCATGAAGCACATGAGGCCCTGGTGAAATCATCTGAACGAAGGGAACATCTCGAGCGACTTGCACGCCACAAACTCCATGCCGAGGTTAAGCGACTCACTGAGCTTAATGCAGATCTAAAGGATCAGGTTGATGTTCTCTCTACTCAAATTGCTAACCGTCCGTTGCCTACAGATACCAGTAGTTCTGATGCGCTTCGTAAGGAACTAAATAAACGGGATTTATTCATCGCACAGCTTGTTTCACAGAGTAAGTTTGTTTTCCTTTGTGCTATCAGTGTGTGTGTGTAATTACGTAAATGTAGTTACAGGATGAGAGCTATGCTTATGGTGTCCCGTCTTCCCAGTACTTTGTCGTATAACGCTTTGAAACTGCCCAGTACTGAGAGTTTTGGCCTCCACCTCAACCTCACTTAGCTTATTCCAAAAGTCTACCACTCTGTTTGCAAAAGAAAATTTTCTAATATTTTTTCGGCACCCTTGTTTACTTAACTTGAATATGTGTCCTCTTGTTCATGAAGTTGATGGTTTCAGGAATTCCTCTTTGTCAATTTGGTCAATTCCTGTCAGTATTTTGTAAGTGGTGATAATATCTCCTTTTTCTTCTATCTTCTAGTTTAGGCATGTTTAACGCCTCCAGTCTTTCCTCGTAACTTTTGTTTTTCAGTTCCGAAAGCCATTTTGTAGCATGCCGTTGCACCATTTTCAGTTTATTTATGTGCTTCTAGTGATTTGGGCACCATACAACTGCTGCATCTTCCAATTTTGGTCTCACGAAAGTCATGAGCAGTTTCTTTAGTATTTCACCATCCATATAATTAAAAGCAAATCTGAAGTTGGAAAATGACGCATACGCTCCTCTCAATGTTTTTTGTGTGTTCCTCTAGCAACAGCTTACTATCCAAAACCACCCCTAGGTTTTGTTCTTTTTTTAGAGTTCTGTAATTCCTTTCCACATAATTTGTAAGTTGTGTGTGGTCTGTTTTCTCCGATTCCACATTCCATAACATGGCATTTATTCACATTGAATTCCATTTGCCACTTGTTGCTCCAAGCACTTATTTTATCGATCAATTTGAAGGGCATTACAATTATTTTAAACCTCACATTTTCTGCCAACTCCATGCAGACACAGCCTGGTGGCACATCAAGAATGCAAACAAAAACCATATCCTTTCCCCTCCTGGCTGAGCTACTTAGCCAAAAATACATCCCTCGAGGCTTAAAATATTACTCGGTTCAGTTTAACATGTGGCTTCTCGTAGCATGTCCCTATATTGAACCAGGCATATATATGGTTTGAGGGAGCCGGTCGGCCGAGCGGACAGCACGCTGGACTTGTGATCCTGTGGTCCCGGGTTCGATCCCGGGGGCCGGCGAGAAACAATGGGCAGAGTTTCTTTCACCCTATGCCCCTGTTACCTAGCAGTAAAATAGGTACCTGGGTGTTAGTCAGCTGTCACGGGCTGCTTCCTGGGGGTGGAGGCCTGGTCAAGGACCGGGCCGCTGGGACACTAAAGCCCCGAAATCATCTCAAGATAACCTCAAGAAGATGGTATTGATGAATTTAATTGAACATGTTACATTTGTATGCTTTAATACATTTTTCATCTTATTGCAGATAAAGAGCTGATTGCTGCTAAGGAACGACAGGAAATTGAGTTAACTGCCCAAAGACAGACTCTCAACGAACAACGAACACACATAGATATATTAGACTCTGCCCTAACTAATGCACAAGCTAATGTAGTAAAGCTTGAAGAGGAGGTAAGAAATCTCTGCAGTAAATACCATAGTGTTTGAAGGGATAAAATAAATATTTCAAATTAATAAATAAAAGTTTCAGCTAACAAATGTTCTATGTTCTTCAACTAGATTAGCATTTGCTTGTATTTGCAGTATATTTTGTATTGTTTAAAAGATGTTTTATGTTAAATAGTAATTTCTATAATGACTTCAGTGTTTATACAGTACTGTACAGTGTTTATACAGTACTGTATGCCAAAAATTGGGGGTATTTTGATTAAGGAAGAGAATTGCATAAGTAGATAGAGATTTAAAGTGGAAGAGGTGTAAAGGGTTACAGAGGCACATAATCGGTTCATTTGTTATTTATGTTGTTCCTCAATACTTTTACAGCCCTGTTTTCCCATAATAGAAATCAGTTGGCTGTAGAAGAATTGTGACCTATGCTTTTACTTCTATGCTCAAATGCTCAGTTTGTGCAGTTATGTTTCACTTTAACCTAGATATCCTTGTCACTTTAGGTTTTTTGTTTTTTAGTTACGAAAGAAGCAGAATTTGGTGGAGCAAGCTGGACAACTGAAGCGGCTCCTGGTATCCCTTCAGTTAGCAGCTGATAGACGGGAACAGTCTGAAAACAACCTGCGTCATAAACTGGAGAAGGAAATAGAGCAGCTACGTCTTGGTACCAAGCAGGTCAGCTATGAAGTAACCTCTGTTTCTAAATCTCTTAGAGGGTGCAAATTTCTCGATTCTGGGCAACTACTATGTGAAATTCGTGAAATATTTTTTTCCTTTTTTTTATTTTTTATAAATTTCTTCTTTGCAAATGAATTTAAAAAAATACATTATCATACTTCCTTGGATCTACTGAATTTTGAATTAATTAAATTCTGATATTGATATCAATTCCTGAAATTTGAGTAAATAGTTACCTCAATAAAAATACACGTGCTAAAGAAGAAAAATAACAAAAATGGTCTCGGATTTAATATTTTAAATAGATAATTTTGGGTGCTATTTTTGCCACTTGCTCCAAATTTATTTTTTAACAATAATAATAATTTTTATAATTTTATTAGGTAATAGTTGGTATAAAAAATCAAATATTGGTAATTATAGTATTGGTATTAATTAGTAAAACTCAATTTTTTTTAAATTAAAAAATCATGACAAGCCGGATTTACTTTGGATGAACAAAAAAAATATGTTGTATGGCATAAGCCGTCATCTAAGCGTTGAGCTTGATTTCACATACTGTATTAAAATGTCAGTCTAACCTAAAAACTTTCACAACTTTCAGCTTCTTTTGTTCAGTAAGTCCCCCACAGACTTCCCCCCCTCCCCTACACACACACACACACACACCTATCCGTGCCTGCATGTGCTTTCTAGGGCCCAGGCAAGCACTATGTCAATTTTGCACCTCTTTTGGAGAAGTTTAGAAAGCCTGGTCTCGGAGCCAACCTTACCGTCCCTTTATCATAGGGAAAAGGAAGCGTGCACTCCATAGTGATGGGCAGTGAAGGGGTCATCTCATCCTTAGGCAGACTACAGTACGTACTATGATCCAAGGCTAATGTTATTCTTAGTGGAGTGAAGCTTAGAAAGATGGATCCACCTCGATTTTTTTTACCTATTGCAATTGTGGGTAATGGAGTCACCACATCGCTCAAATATAATCCTAAAATGTGGAAATCTGTGTATTGAATAGGATTGCTTGAAGTTGATTAATTGATTGGCTGGTTGTTCGTGATTGTTTAAGACACCACCTCTATTGTGGAGTAATTGTTTTGAATGCTTTCTTACCCATTGATAACTGTGTCCTCTGGTCATTCTCATGGCACCACCAGTTGGTGGTATTCAACTTTTTCTCATGCAGGCGATGAGTCACAATAACGTGGCTAAAGTATGTTGACCAGACCACACACTATCAGACGTATGACCAGACGTTTCGGTCCGTCCTGGACCATTCTCAAGTCGATTGTGAATGACATTCTCAAGTCACAATCGACTTGAGAATGGTCCAAGACGGACCGAAATGTCGTTGTCCCTTCACCTTCTAGTGTGTGGTCTGGTCAACTTTTTCTCATTCTCTGTATTCTCTTCTTAGTTGCTTGTTACTATTTGTTATTCATTTTTTCCTTTGTTCTGATGCTCGCCTCTATTTTTGGTCTTGTATATTTTTAGTCCTATAGTTTTGATGCCTAGAGTTTTTTCCAAGATCTACCCTCCATTGAGGTAATCATAACTTAAAAACTTCTATACAGCATTTTCCAAAATATAATTTAGACTGATTCTGTCATCGTTCATTACATGATTTTCTTTTTCTGTGATGTTTTTCACTAATTGATTTAACTTATTATATTTATGTAAATTTTCTTTTAATCCCATTAACCATCACAGATTTCCAAAATAAATCATGTCGGCTGTATTTTATATTTTTTTTTTGCCCAATTCCATGCTGTTGTTTCTTTGGAGCATACCTGTAGAGGGTTCTGGGAGTTCTTTTACTCCCCGAGCCCGGCCTGAGGCCAGGTTCGACTTGTGATAAGCCACTATTGGTAGGAATATAAATTTTTTGACGTCTTCCAGTAATTTCCTGCAAGAGGTGTTCCTCATTTCACTTAGTGATGACTTTTTTAACCCACTGGGGAAAATATGCCCGAGTAATGTTAAACCAACATGAGATCAATGTTAGCAATGTCGTTTCAATGTTACATCAATGTTGTTTTCCCAGATCTGGCCAGGGGGGAATGTGGTGGCAGTTAAATCTATATTTAAGTCTTAAGCATATTGTAATTTGAGGCTTCAAAAATTTCTACCGAGTGAAAATGACTAAAGTAGTTTTATAACTAGTCTCACAAAAAGGAGAAATTCCAAGATGAAAGAAGTCTTTATAGGAGATGTGTTTTTAAATATTTTGCTTTGTTTACAGGATGGTCCTGTGAGCAAACTGAGTGATCTGCGACGGGAAATTCGGGAAAAAGATGAGAAAATAATGATTCTGGAAGGGGAGGTCACGAAATGGGAGCAGCGCTACCTGCAAGAGTCAGCAATGAGGCAGCTTGCCATTGAAGCTGCATCCATGCCCAAGTGCGTTACTCTTGTCATTTTTCTCTGCAGTTTGTCAAATTGTTCCCACAACTTCTATTTTGCTTGTATTGTACTGTGTGTGTATAATGCACAACATTGTACCTGGATTGTACCTGGGAGCTCTTCTACTCCCCAAGCCTGGCCCCGGTTTGTGAGAGCTTATCCCAACAGGCTGTTGCTTGGAGCAGCCCGCAGGCCCACATATCCACCACAGCCCGGTTGATCTGGCACTTCTTGAAGGAAACTATCTAGTTTTCTCTCTGAAGATGTCCACGGTTGTTCCGGCATTAAGTGGTTAAAGAAAAACTTATGTGTACCACCTTTTTATTTCGACTCTAGCCTAATGGGACATGTATATAAACCAGCAAAAGAAAAGATATGAGAAGAAAAGCATAATCTGCTGTTCGTAAAATCATTTTAAAATGTGAGAAAAGTATATCAGAAATACCTACAAATGTCTCAAAATTTTCATATCTGTTCACTTGTGGAAAAAGTCTGTTCATCAACACGACCGTTTTATACATGTGATTTTCTGTTTTTGTTTATTTGTTTTAACTTAATTTCTCACTATGATTTGTATAGCTAAATTTACAGATATACAGTACTTTATTAGCATAACAGCTTTTTAGTGGCATTAATAGGCTAATTTTTGTAATACAGTATTCTTGTAAATTTCAGTAATGGTTTTCTCCCTCATATTGTATTTATGTCTATACTACCATATCCCTATTTTCATCCAAGCACCATTCTAAAACCTTTTCTGTGGAGAGCCCCTTCGGCTCCCCGGAGCTATACCGGGCTGATGTGTATATATATTAGACGGTGGCAACAGTCACTCGCAGGAGTTCTAAGCCTACCGGGGACCAGAGCCAGTACCTGGCCCCCCTCAAGAGAGGCACAAGGAGCAATGGCGTAAAGACACGCCCGTGTAATTGGAAGCAGTCTTTGTCTGCCATCTACCAGGTCAGGCACCCAGAAAGGTAGGAATTTCAAAACAAACTACTGCTGGTCAAAAAGTTGCAAACCAAAAACTGAACTAGCAAACAGAATTCCCCAATCAAAAACAAGGAAAACAAACATGTCACCACAACTGCAGCGCATCCGTCTGCACAACCCCCCCCCCCTTCCTGGGAGGGGGATGGGGGAGTCCCAGACTTCCATGCCTGCAACTCTCCTCAGTTCAAGAGGCTGTTGTGTTGCCAACTGTCGATTGCTCTGGCTCCACTCTTTGTGCAGTGCGGTGGTGTTGCTCTGTTTTGGTGGTGTGTGAGCCAGACGTAACACAAGAGTACTGGGGCTGCATGCACCTAGGGCTACCTTCCCTAGATGCCCCGTAAGTACTGCCTTTGCGGCCTCGGGGTTATCTTCCATGAGCCGTTCAGGAGCAGCTACCTCCATGTAGTTCTGTCGCTGCTCGGTGATTGCCCGCCTTTGGGGGTTCAGCTGGGGAGGTTCTTACTCCTGTTTGGCCTTGGGTAGGAAATAGTTTCGTCGCTGGCTGGGGCGCGAGGTACTATGTAGCTGTCTGATATACAGACAGCTACTAGCCTACCAAATCGGTAGGCTTAGAACTCCTTCGATTGACTGTTGCCACGGTCTAATATATATACACATCAGTCCGGTATAGCTCCGGGGAGCCAAAGGGTCTTGTCCAGAAAATGGCATTTCATTACATTCAACGCTGGTTTTTTGCACAGCCCTTCTATATCGTAACATCACTCATTACCATGTGATATCTTTGATCCATAGGATTATGCAAAAGTAATTTATATCTTCTGCTTTTGTATTTGGGTTCTTTTGTATTTTGTAAGCTTGCAACCTCGCATCCATTTAGCATAGTATGCACATACATGTCATATTTTTGTTCATTTCATGCTTTCCCTTACTTGCCATGATTTGTAAAGCACCTTCGTCTTCTTTGTTGCATAGCTTAACTTAATCCTTAAATTCCTATTGTGGACCTTGTTAAGCAGAATCATGTGTTCCTCCTCTTATTTTTTTTTTTTGGGTGGGGGGAGGGGGGGTGCAGAATGATTCCTGGGTCTGTTGCACTTGCAATTTTACAGAAACATTCTTTGCCATTCAATATACATATGCTCTATTCAGAAAATGATAATGGCTTTCTTTGACATTGTTTCAATACATTTTTTATACCTCTTTGTCAGCTTTCTCCATCCTTTATAGTCGAGATAGAGAGAGGCTACAGGTTAGCACTTCTGTCATTGCCTCTTCCCACCACTGGAGTTTACATTGCCAATAGTTTAATTTTGAAATCTCTCATTAGCTTAATTCAATTTTGGCAGTCTTGATATTTTATTGTGGAAAATATTTTATTTAATTTTTTATGGTTACTGTACAGAGATGCCAAAATTGCTGCCTTAGAAAAGACTAGCCAGGAGAGTGAGCGCCACATCGCTCAGGCAAAGTCTGATAAACTGCGCCAAATGGACGAGCTCCACACCATGAGTAAGAAGCAAGCAGAGTATGAGGCCAGGTAATTATTCTCTTGAAAAAACAAACAAATTGCAAGCTTGTTTTAATTTTTTTTTTAAGCATGGTACTAGGATTAACCTTTAGTGATATACTGCTGGAGCTTGAATGATATGTGATAAAAAAAAGTTGCAAAATGCACAAATGTAGCAGGATTTAACAGTAGAATAATATGAAGAAAGCTGGCACTTGAAGGACCTTCACTGTAAGTGTAAATTAAACAGATTAGAGTAATGAGTACCATTGGGACAAGTGGTTAAGTATTTGAGAGGGAATGGCTAATAAGTAAAACTGCAAGAGGTAAGGTTTTGTTAATTTAAGAGAATGGACTTTCTTATGGTAAGATAAAAGGATACCATCACAAGTGTAGCAACTTAATATGCTCATACACTAATGCAATGCCTTTATTGCTTTTGGTACACGTCAATATGTCTAAAGAAAAATGCATTTACAATAGCGCTCTAAGGACACTAAATGCTGAAGTATGTCAAAATGTTAGCACAGTATTGCAATGAGACAATTGATACACATGAATACCCACCTACTTCCTGCCAAACACGACAAACAGTTGAGTACATTTCCTCTTACTAATTGAATGTACTATGAGAATAATATAATAATAATACTTATTGTGGGCCCAGAAAGGGGATTTTTAGAGTCTTCAGAAGGATTCTTGTATTATTATTAATTGTATTTACATGTGGTTATACAAGAAAATTTGTTAAATGTCTTTGATGGCCTTACATACGTACATATACACCAAGGCCAGGTTGTATGGCTGACACCAGAAAAAATTATTGGTATCTTGAGTCACCAAAGAAGACTCAGGTTTTGAACAGCAAAATAATTCCCAAAATACAAATTTGTGAATACAGTAGAGTGTATTTTTACACGAACAGAATGATTGGTTCCATACCCTGTTCTGTGCATTACATCATTACTATGTTATTTTTATTTATTGCCACAATGTGTTTTAATAGCGTCTTAAAATATAGCATATTTAAAAAACGGTATTTTGATACCAAAAGCACGTTATAGAAGTAAATTTTTTAATCATGCAAATTATGTTTATCCCTTCCACAAATCTGGTCCAGCAGGAATTTCTTGATTACTTGGACCCCTATACTAATGCTTATAACATTAACTGAATCTTAATCCATCGACTGAATCCGACTTTCATTTAGATCAAGTTTCTTAGAGAGGGAATCAAATGTGCTCAAATAAGTTACACAGTATAAGACATAGTGTTTAAATATAATAATTTTGTGAATTATTCTTTGAAGAATTATTCATAATTCTTTGGGAATTAGGTGTCAGGTACCAGGTGCTTATCTCTCAGTATCTACAGGAAATGATATCTGGCTCTTGTGCTATATCTGCTATCATAGCTCTTGTGCTATGCCTCTTTGTGGGTGGTACCTGGTGCTCTGATAACTCTTCACATTCTAGTTCTATATTTTACTTGCTCGTGAAATTTCAGCTAGAGATGGTCTCTACAAATTCTTCAAGTGTATTTCCACTTGTTACTTCAGGATTGCATAATCATTTTTATGATTATGTAAATAATTGAATTAGAAAATCAGTTTTAATTTTTAATGTCATCTGCAAATCTAATAGATAGGTATTTATTCTATATATATTTCAGAAGCCCTGTCCTAGGGTAAAGCAATACAGTATTTTGAAATGTTGTTCACGGAGTTTATTAGGAAAATAAGCCGTGAAGATGGATATTTATTTTTCCCCTGTCTAATAAATTAGGCATAAACTGCATGAAATGTCTGAAAAGAAAAGTAAAATTGTATAAATCATATGCTGTTACTTTATACTCGTATAATTAGTACAGTAAAAGTACTCTTGCACATGGTTATTTTTTACAAGTGTACTACAGTACTTGTCCTAATGCCCATCATCTTTCACATAATTCCACTTAGTCTAATGTAACTATCACCTCATAATTTTTTCTCCTCAGTTGTGTCCTTCACTCATCTTTCTTGTCCTGGTTGTCCTTGTAAAACATATATATATATATATTCTTCTTTGCTTAATCATAGTTTGGGTAACCAGATTCATGCTTGCTTGCTTTTAGTTTTGCCTGTGCTTTCTCCTGTTCAGTGCTTGGCATACTTTTTCAACACTCGCCTGGCTATTCCCACCTAATGTACCATCTTAGCACACACTTCTTGCTATTTACGTATTATATAATGATTGGGTAATATTATAGAAAACTAAATATGACTGCAAATTAACCCTTAGGAACCGTGAACTGGAAAGTCTTGTAGCAGAGCGTGATGCCATGATACGTGTTCTTCAAAGACGAGCAGAGGAAAAAGAGGCACTGTACCAAAAAGCTCTCTTGAGAAAGTCTCTGAACATTGGAAAAAGGTAATTGATGAGCAGTTGCATTTGTGGGATGCAATGTGTGTGTGTGTGTGTTGACTTTCTTAACAGGCTCTATACTAACATTAATGTTAGGAACTAGATATTATGGAACTCATGTTGTATTGTGACTTGAGTAAAGATATATTTTAGAGAGAGATTGGATTACAGCAGTAAGAGGTATAGCTCCTGAAAAGGGCTATAATTCTGTCATAAATATTTTAATTTCTGGACAATTTGATATGAAGAAGTCCAGACATAAGAACATAAGAACAAAGGTAACTGCAGAAGGCCTATTGGCCCATACGAGGCAGCTCCTATTCTATAACCACCCAATCCCACTCATATACTTGTCCAACCCGTGCTTGAAACAATCGAGGGACCCCACCTCCACAATGTTACGCGGCAATTGGTTCCACAAGTATTTTCTGGAGGACATAAAGAAATGATCCAAATATTTTTAGACGAACCCTGTATTAGCCACCATATTTGAAGCAGTCATCAACTATACAGTATTTGGCTAGATTATATTTGAAAGGAATACACTTTACATGAAATGCAAAATTTGGACATTAAGTTGAATAGTTGATGAAAGAGAACAAAGTTAAAAACACAATGATATCAAAGTATAAAATATTTTGTAGTAGATTAATTGAGCATAAAAGTACTGTATGTGGCTTATTGCCAGGATGCTACGTCAGAGGCGGATTTACAAATATTAGGTGATAACGTTTTTGTTCCCATTACGGGAAAAAGTGAACACCTTCCACTAAAAAAATACCTTTGCAGAGAACAAGTCGTAATAACTTGGCTAAAAATTAAGCCAACCCATGCATGAAAAGAATGGAAAGTGATGATGTTTTGATCCATTCTGGAACCTTATCACGACTTGATTTTCATCTATGTTGGTTGGGTTATTAAAATACGATTGCCTCTTATATTGTACAAAAAATAACTTTACTTCCATTACGGTGATGATCAAATTACTTAGCTTCTCCCAATAACCAACATAATGTACTTGCAACCTCCAGTGATTAGATTGAAAATAATGTAATACTCACTTTCACATATTTACGTTTTAATTTGTGAGGTGCATATTCTGTGTTAGTAATTACAGGAGAAACCACATAATATAAAATGGTTTGATACACCCTTTCAGATAAGTATTTTCTGGAGGGGACAAACTGTGATTTCCTGAAGCTAGCTTACTGAGGCAGCTCCCCACCACTGAGCTACTTCATTCTTCTGTATGGCCTATCACCAGGGACCAGAGGCACAACCTGGCTCCCCCCCTTAACAGAGACTCGGTGAACAGCTCTTACTCTCGCCCTCGCCAAGAAAAACATCAAGAATGTAAGCGAAGCAATACAGACAACTGTGAGGTTCACAGAAAGCAAATCACTGAAACAGCTAAACTACTGTGCAAAGCAAGCAAATCACTGTAGAGTTGGTTGCTTGCTTGCTTTGCAGAGAGTTCTTTGCTTGCAGAGAGCCACAGAGGCCCTACCCAAACCTACCAAAACAAAAGGTTTCATTACATTCAACACTTCTTTTTGTTCTTTTGGTGTATTTCTTGATAGTCATACTGTACCCCTTAAATTCTCACCAGCTGTATAAAATACTGTACATGCGTACTTGCATGTTTACTTATTATTGAAATGCTCATTTTTTAATACAGAAAAAAACTAATTGGACTGATTATTTGAAGGTGGTAAAAGATAGAACATGAGACCACTTCACAATTACTGAAAAGTGGCATAGAAAATAATGGGATGTATTATGTCACAGTGGTGTATGGTGAAAATTTGCTTCAAGAGGTATCCTGTGTGCCAAAGCCAATGCAAACTCTAAACACACAGCCTCCTCCTACTGTATATTTTATTAATTAAATTTAGCTTATGGTGATGATGCTCACGTTAAAATAATTGTTTTATCTTGTTGTTTTTTGTTTCAGTTTGGATGGCCGAAGCAGCATCAGTAACTCCAGCATGGTCCACAGTACTCAGGCGTCAACAGCTCATTCACACAGCAGTAGTGGAGCAGGAGGGGCTGGGGGTGGTTCCAGTGCCCCTGGTACACCGAGACGAGATGAAGAGCTCGGTGAGATCCTTCTCTAGTATAATGGGGAAGATGCCAGCATATTGCAGTATACTTCTTAGTGCTGAATGTCATTGTCAATGAGCTAAATTAACGATGTACAAAAATATCCTGTTGCCGATTCTAATCAATATGTTGATCAGTATGATACACGAACAGAGATATTTGGTACCTGACAACAATGACCTCTATGTAGCTGTTTTTCTGGTAGCTCTCACAGATTACAATAACTTGTAGTCGTGTTTGTGTGCTGTTTGCACAAATAAGCTTCCTGTGATCTTGTAAACTAACTGCTATTCAGCCTTAAATGTGAGTATCACACCCCTTCTTCATATAGACTGAATGAGGTTTGTGGTGTTGTGAGCACTCTTAAAAAAATTGATGTTCATTCTTCTTATTACTGCTGCATGTGTCTGACGTCTGCTGATGCCATACGTTTGTAACTGTGTTCCCCAAGTTACAGCAGTTTTGAATCTGCTTAATGTTATGTGACTTGTGAGCAGAATGCATTAAATGTGCTGCCTACATGCCTGCTGCCCGTCCACTTGCCTGCCTGCCTGCCTGTCCACATACGTGTCTCCTTTCCATGTCATAGGTGAGATATATGTTTTATATCGTGTTTTAGAGTAGAAAAACTAAATTTGTAGCTTTTTTTTCCTATAGATGTACTGCTTTTGTAAGTAGATAGAAACCTGTTTTAACAAGCATTTTGTTTAAATTTGTCACTCATAGTTCTATGGCCCAGTGTAATAATTTGTCACTTACCTTTGGGGGTCCTCCCACCAATGTTAATTATGGGTCTTGTTTATGTGCTCCCTTTTTTCCTCTAATGTCTTCCTACATTTATTCCCAAATTGAGAGTTTCTTAGTATACCATGATGGTGATGCCTATCTATTATGATTAAAATTTGATCCAATTGGAGATTTTATGACAAAAATATGAGATACGGATAAATTTATCTCTATTGATAATAGATAGCCTTAATGATTTGATGGTCTACAGGTTTAAGATCAAAGTAAGTTATCTGTTATGGTGTAACACTTTGGGAGAGAAATAGAGCTCTATTAATGTGTTGCTTTTTTTCTATATAAGCTTTACCCATTGCATTATCTTTGAATAAGAAACAAAACATTTGTATGAAGCAATATTTCTGTATAATGCTTTGAAATTTGAAAGAACATAGTTGTGGGCAAGATCATTGCTTACCACTGTATGTGTGTTAAATAAAATAGTCTTCCCAGCTTGACGCCTTCTTTAGATAATTACTTAACTACCACTATGTGATGTGAACAGCTTGATGTTCCCTGTGATCAAAGGGTAGGGTGTTTGGGCTGGGGATTTGTCTTCATAAATTCCAACCTAGGAAGTGCACAAGGAGAGAAATCCCTAGAAGAAAATATTAGGAAAATAATGTAAGAAAGTTGGGGGGAAAAACAAGGAAAAACTAGGTGGAAATTGTTTGTAAGGATGATAAGTGCATGTATTGATACCCTTTAACACTTTGCCTGGCCTGGCGCATGAGGTCCAACCCACCCCAAGGTCTGCCTGTCATTTCCTGCGAGCGCTCACCCGCACTAACATGTGTATACCCTTTTCAGTTTTATCACCTCAATGTTCGTATTACATGGTTGATTTTGGTATCAAATTGTTCGCAATAGAATTCTCTAAATGAATATACCTGTATGCACATAAGGTCAAAAAGCCTGAAGTATCACCCGCAGCTAACTCGAAAATCGGCCTAGCGTTACCCATGAGCGTGCAACTGCACGAAAATGTGTGTACAGTATTCTTGCCTCAATTTTGGTGCTACATTGTTGAGTTGGGTATCAAATTGTTTACAATAGAATTCTCGAAGAGAATTTATGCATATAAGGACAAAAAAAACTGGTGTGTTACCCACAGCAAACGAGAAAATCTGCCAACCGTTAATCATCATCAGATGATTCTTCATTTCGAGGTGAGGTGATCAGCACCTTTCATGTGGTTATTGTAGTCAGATTGCCTTTGGTTAGTTCACAATGAACTTGTGATGAGTGAAATAACTCCCTTATCTTTCCACTGGATTATAAAAGTATTGTCCTTCTGCCTGAATACAGTTTCATCTACTGGCAGTTTACCCTTTGCTTGTAGCTGAAGATCTTTTGGTGCACCACGCTGCAATCTGAGAGTACCATAGGTGTATACACCTTGTTCAAGCAGCTTCTCATTAAGTTGAAATGAGTTGTAGTTTTAACTATAACATTGTCAGTCCCAAATATCTGGCAAGCTCTTTTTACACTCACTTCATCCAACTCATTGTTTGTGTTTTTAGAAGTATTGGACATGTTTTGTGATGCATACAAGTTGGTTTCATATACAGTACTATATATTTCGGCCAGTTTTGCATAATAGTAACTGTTCTTACGGGCTCATCATAGCCCGTGCTACATGGACACTTCGTCCTGAGTAGCTAAATCTTTAACAACAACAACAAAGTAACTGTTAAAATCCAAAGAGGATTTCTATCTTTTCTATCTTTTTCATGACTCAATTGATGCCGAATACTGTTGCCTCGTTATCGTGTGGCGCTGGCCGAGCCTTTTCAGCTTGTGTTCTGGGTGGATGTCACTTCTACCCTGTTCTGTAAGCTTTCTCATGCTTTGTTTCACCTCTGGCCTGCCCATGCGCCGCCTGAGTCGTCCTGGTCCTTGGACAGGATGCATTTTTTTTTTTCTCTTCCCCTCGGTTTGTGGTGGCCCCTTTGGTTCAAGATTGTTTTTCCAAGGCTCTGTTTCTGTTAGTTTCTGGGGTTCGAGTTGTTGAGCTTCATGCTCTCCTCCGGTGTAGGGGGTTTCTGCTCCTTTGGTCCTGGTAGTCGATTTGCTCAGTTGCAGTCCTCTCTCTCTTTTCTGGTAAAAAAATGAGATGGCAGCTTTCTGGAGAGGCCCTTGGGTTATTAATGCTTGGTTGGTCAGGCTGGGTGTGCATCGTGTGTTGTCCAGTTGCGGCTCTTCACCATTATTTGTGCGCCTCTGCTTTGGGGGCCGGGAATGTGCTTTGGGTTGATCCGGTTTTCCCTAGTTCCCTGTTCCAAGGCTCAAGTCTCCAAGGTCGTCTGCAGTGTTAAGTCTAGCCAGCCTGCAGTCTATCCTCGTGCCCATGACTTTCCTAAGTTTGCTTCTTTGGCTGCCATCTTGGGCTGATATTCAGGCGCTGGGATTTTAGAGGTCACACTGGGTCCTGCTGCCCATTATTTGGTCAACATTCCTAGTCCTGCTCGTTCGTGTGTGGCTTTGGGTTGCAGGTTTCAGCCAGTTGTCTTGACTTCGAGTTGAGGTGCGCGTGGCGGCCGCCTCCCGGGTAAGTCCCTCTTTTATTTGTCTTGGGTTATGTAGCTCCGGGAAGCCAAAGGGGGTTTCCCACAGGAAACCAGCGTTGAATGTAATGAAATGCCGTTTTCTGGGGGAGCCCCAGAGGCTCCCTGGCACCCTCCTTTCCTCCGGTTGGCAGTTTCATTTTGCTTTTGATGCTCATCCTCCGAACTGGAGGTGTAAGTAGCTGGCGCTGGGGGGCTCGGGACTTTCCCTCCCCTTTCCCTTCCCAGAGATGATAGGGCTGCGCTGACAAGGGGTGCAGCGGCGGTATATGACATTTGCTTGTTTCCTTGAGAGTTGGGAGTTCTGTCTCCCTGTTCGGTCTTCGGTTGTAATTTTCTTACTAAGTGGGGCTTGTTTTGTTATGCCTACTTCTCTGGGTGCCTAACCCCCAGTCGATGGCAGACAAGCAGTACCCCCAACCACAGAGGGGTTTTTCCAGAGGCCATTGCTCCCTTGCCTCTCTGAGGAGGCCAGGTTCTGTCTCGTGGTCCCCGGTAGGCTGAACTCCATTGACTAATGCCCTAAACTAATATATATTGCATATCAGCCCGATAGCTCCAGGGAGTGTCCGGGGCTCACCCAGAAAATAGCATTTCGTTACATTCAACGCTGGTTTTTTTGCACAAGTTTTCAGTGATTTGTATGATTATAGTTATAAATGCAGTGACATTGATAGATTAATATTTTTTGCAAATATATGATAAAGTAATTGTTTTTAAGAATATTTCACAATATTGTAGTCGTATCATGAGATATGGCAGCACATGCATGTCTCTCCATATTGTAGAATACAGTATATGATTTTGAAAGAGAGAAGGGCACATTTGGAATTTTGAAAAATAATTACTGTATTTTGTAATCATATTTATATCATGAAACATGCTGGTTGGTGTAATCACGGATACATGCTGGTCACTGTTAATACTTGTTGGTCTGTATTTATACGTATTCCTTACATTGTTAGTTCATCATGGGGGGGGGGGATTGGATCTTGGTATCTCCTTCCTATAACGTGCAAATGAAATCTTCAGTATTTACAGTCTATGGATGTGTCTTGAAGAAAGCGTGATAAGCTTATTCACACCTTTTTATTTTCCCCCTTTTTTCTTTTCCTGCACAGTTATTTACCAAGGTGTTGCATTTACAAAGAAATCCAAAACTAATCAAATTTATTTGCTTCTACATGTTAATCCATAATTTATTTGATTTTATTGTGTGTTGTACTGCACAAGAATGTTGTCATTCAACAAGATTATGTTATGTTGCAATTTTGTTTATTCATTAATGTTTACAGTTTCAGTTGAATATTTATGTATAATATTCTATTTGTTGGCTTTGTCAGTATAGCTCAATCATTCATGTCAATAAAAATGGTTTAATTCAAAATACTAGTATTCAAAATACATTTGTCTGCACATTTAAAATATGGATGACACTGAATATTGTATAATATGTTGAGTAAAACATTTTTGATCTTAGCAAAGTGAGAATGTAATACTGTACTGCTGTTTATTTATAGATTGCGGACAGTAAAATATACGGAAAGAGTAAATCGGAGAAAGTGAGCAGGAGCTTGTTCAGACATTATTGATTGTACTCACAAAAGTTACTATTTACAATCTTGCAAACATTTGAAAATTGCTTAGAACAGGGTAAAAAAATATTTAACAAATGCCAATCATTTTTTTCTTTAGAAGCATTCTGTTATCAGTATTCAGCATTAAGCTTTCTCCACTTTTTTTTCACTGCTTTCTTATGTTTATCACATTTGAGATGTGCTGCTTCTACTTTATGTACTTATCTGTGAAAGTGCATAACAGAGTTCATTTATATTTTGACAGTCTAAAATATGTCTGAGTAATGCTTATTGAAATCAGCTTAAATTCAGAGGTATTACATTCAGGTAGTTTTGTCATGTGAATATATATTGGGAATGGTTGTACTCACCTTGTTGTGCTTGCGGGGTGTTGAGCTTTGGCTCTTTGGTCCTGCCTCTCAGCTGTCAATCAACTGATGTACAGATTCTGGAGCCTTTTGGGCTCCTATCAAATCTACATTTGAAACTGTGTATGGAGTCTATCTCTACCACATCACTGCCTAATGCATTCCATTTATTAACTACTCTGACACTGAAAACATTCTTTCTAATGTCTGTGGCTCATTTGGGTACTCAGTTTCCACTTGTGTCCCCTTCTGCGTGTTCCACCCATGCTAAATAGTTTGTCATTGTCCACCCTTTCAATTTCCAAGAATTTTGTAGGGGGTTATCATGTCTGCCCCTTACTCACCTGTCTTCCAGGGACATGAGTTTTAGCTCTAGTAGCCTTTCCTCATTGCTCATACCTCTCGGTTCTGAGACTAGTCTGGTGGCATACCTCTGAATCTTCTCTAAATTTATCTTGTGTTTAACTAGGTATAGATTCCAGGTTGGAGCTGCATATTCCAGGATGGGTCTGACATCAGTGGTATTCAAGGTCCTGAATGCTTCCTTAGTTTGTGTGTGTGTGTACACTCGCCTAGTTGTGCTTGCAGGGGTTGAGCTCTGGCTCTTTGGTCGCACCTCTCAACTGTCAATCAACTAGTGTTCAGATTCCTGAGCCTACTGGGCTCTAATCATATCTGCATTTGAAACTGTATATAGAGTCTGCCATATCCACCATATCACTGCCTAATGCATTCCATCTTAACTACTCCGACACTGAAAAAAGTTCTTTTATGAGTTTTTTCAACTCGGCCATCCATGTGACTGAGTTGGGTACTGTACTCAGTTTCCACCTGTGTTTCCTTGTTCACGTAACACCCGTGTAAAATACTTTATCTGTCTATCAATTCCTGTGTGTGTTATATATTAATAGTTATGTTATCTGGCACTAAAACTTAATTTTCCTTGCCATTACCTAAGTGATTGTGTTACTGTTATGCTTTACATCAAAGCTTACCATCAACCTTCCTGCAGGCTGTGCCCCGCCCATCCCTCCGTTCCCTTCCATGAGCCACACGTCTGTGAGTGCTTCCACCACAAAATCTAATGCCATCAATCCATACTTGGACCTTGCATCAAATTCCTTGACATCAGCGTGTATTGCCTCTACTTCATCTGCATCATCCACCTCGTCAGTTTCGATGGGACAAGAAAGTCAGGCTTGCGGTCGGTTGAGTGGTTCACGCGATGCAGTTGACGAGAAGAAAAGAGTGGACAGCTGTGGTGGAGCAAGCCAATCGTCAGGAAGAGTGCCTGACTTGGATTCCTTGAGTGCAGATGACCTGCTAGTTGATGTCGATGATGGCATGCATGGAAAGGTGGGTAAAAACAATATTTTGTGTCATCTTGTTGTTGTCAATCTGGTTGTTGTCAATCTCCTTGTTTTCCTGATCTAGTCTTAATCTTAAAATATGTTGTCTTATTGTTTTGTCATTTAGTCTCATAAGGGGGTTGGTATTTATTTCTTAACCAATCATTTCAGCTGCTGATTATCTGCACAGTTTTTAGTGACAGACCTTCCATCCTTGTTTGAAACATATGATACAATATCATTCATTTTCTAATGTAACAAAATTAATTGAGGAAGTAAACACAAGACAAATCAGTTTGAAAAGAATGCTGGAAATGGGACAGAGAGTGGAAGAGGGTGGTGAATTAAACATTTAATATTTCACTGCATTTGGTAATAATGTATTGGGGGGGGAACTTGCAGATTAAATATGATAGTATGAAATAGTGAAAAATGTGGTGTAATGGAAGGAGAAAGATTAATATGAGGGGATATACTGCACACTGATGTGTGCTTGTTTGATTGTTTACTTGGGATTTGGGGGAGTGTAGCCTCTCTGTTCAGTTTCCGGTTGTAATTTTCTTACCGTGTGGAGTTTGCTTGGTTATGCCTACCTTTCTGGGTGCCTAACCCCAGTCGATGGCAGATCACAAAAGCCCCCAACCACAGTTTTTTTTTTAAAGGGGCCATTGCTCCCTGTGCCTCTCTGAGGGGGCCAGCTACATTCAACGGTGTTTTTTTGGAATTGGCATCTTGCTTAAAATTCATATTAACTCTTAATGATTCCGCTTAGTTTTCTAGTGTGTGCTTATATTTAGGTATCCCACAAAAATGTTATGTTTACTTTGTGGTAATTAAATGTGAAGGATATTAAGCGCTTTTTAGTGTAACTTATATTTCCAAATATAGTTCATATACTCTGTTTAATTTATAATTTTCATTAAATTCAGCTATTTTCTCTTCTATTAAAATATTTTGATGCTGTACATTCCACTCTCAGATCAGGAATGCTTTGCAGGATGAGATTTGTTAATAAGATATACTCATGTGGAACTTGAGTGAACAAGTACAAAATAACCTCAGTAATGCTCAAATAACAGTCAAGTGTGGGGCAAAAAATAACCCCAGCAGTCATATGTTTGTCAGTCTTGTGTTTATCTTTGGGTATTAGATGGTGCATTACAGTTGAAGCTTAGAGCATTGCCGAGCATTGAGTTTTATGCAACAAATGAGTTGGGCAATTGCTAATATTTAGAACTAATACTGGTATTTGTCATTCTTTTGTTTGCTCATTAAACCATTTTACTTGGATTGTGTGCACTATTTTGTCTTTGAAATAATGCAGAAAAATTGAGCAGAACTAGTCATATGCTGTGTATGTATAATGTATTTATTCTGTAATTATTACTAATAGTCATCCTTTTTCCCATTTATGCTTACTTTTTCCCCACTACTAAATTTTTTGATCTTGATTATCTTCTATTTCTATCTTTATTTTCTGGCCTTGAAACAAGTCAGCCAGTTTTATGTGCAAAGCTATGTTTACTTCTAAGAAAAACTATGCAGTAGCAAATAGAAGACAATTATGGAAAGTAGCTAAGGAGTCGGTTATTCATTGTGTGCGTGCGTAGTAACCGTGTCTCCAACTTTGCTTTAGTAGAGAGCGCCACATTCTTCGTTTTGCCACCACCTGTTGTCCATCTGTATATCTGCTTTGTAGCACTAGTGGCTTATTAGTTAAGACATTGTGGTACAATGTACTGTCCAAGCTGCATTTAGATTACTTTTGGAAGGGCTGGACTGTGAAGATGATGATGATGAATTGTAGGTTGGTGTAATACCTTGGTTAGTGGGGATGCATATAGCTTGATGTCATTGTAGTTGTGGATGAATATATGAAGGAGTTTGAGTAAGAGTCTCCTTTCAGTTCAGTTATTGATTTAACATAAAAGAGATGGTGGATGAAACCTGTAAGGAGAATATTGGTCTCAAATATTAAGTTATTTTCTTTAGCGGAGAATATTATTCAACTGTTATTTTTAAATTATTAATTTCTATTATAATTAACACAGCAAGAGAGAGAGAGAGATTTTGGTGCATTTAGATTGAGAAAATAAAGTGCATTTTGCCACAAATTTAATATTGGGGTGAGTAGGTTTGGTTATAAGGTACAGTATTAGTTTTCATTAGGTTTCATTTTAGGTTCTGACTTGTTTTTTGTTTGGCCATTTCTCCTACGACTGTCAATTCTGTGTTGGTGACACACAGATATTTCATTGCAGCTGCGTGTGGTGTGTTTTCCAGGACTGGCTCATCCTAGCTCTGCAGCTGGAGAAGGCACGGTATCCCAGCCACTACTGGCGCGTGTAGAGCCTCATCCCTCCTTGCTCCTACCTTCTCAACACCTTACCAGTGATCAGTCACACCCAGGCCTCAATAGGGGTATGGATCATACTTCCTTGGTCCACACACACACCCACAATGATGTTCCTGCCCTCTCCTGTCCACCATATGATCCTCCACCTTCGTATCCTTTGGAGATGACAAATAATATTCCTCCCCCAACTCTAAGAGACATGTCATCCATGGCAACTGCTCAGTCACAATTGGGGCATGAAACTGCACTGCAAGCAGTGAATCTACGATCAACTAGTCATGTACGTGGTAATCCTCCTCCTTATCATGGCCATCACGAGGTACTCTCTCAACAGTTTGGAGGTACAGGGTTACAGTCATCACCTGTTCATTCTACTGAGCAGATTCCTATTCCATTAATGCCAGGTAGTCCACCAATGAATTTTAATCGTCGAATGGGTCCTAAAATGTCTCCCAGTGCACCTAATCTTTCTACTGATATGCCTGTGCCACGTCCTCCCATGTGTCATAATCCGCATCATCCAACAGTTGCATGTAGAAAATGTAACAGCGTACGTAGCAGTAACAGACAAAATGCCGCTATCTTAGTTCGGCGAGCTAACTCGAGTGCAGGTCACACTTACAGAAATTCTGCACCTCTTGTAGCATGCCAAGGAGGAATTGATACAGATGATGCCCCAAGTATCCTAGCTCGTCTTAGAAGAGAGTGGGAAATGGGCAATATTCCATCTTGTGGAAATAGTTCACTACCACAGAGTTTGTCATCTGAAACAGATACACAGCAACTAACTCTCTCTTCGGGTGCTGCTTCTAGGAATAATAATTCACAGAATTCTGCAACAACTGATTCTTCAGTAGAGTCTTCTAAAGATAAATTGTCACAAAGAGAATCACCCTCACAACAGAACGCTACATCAAAGGACGATGCAAAGGATCAGCATCAAAAAGACCATAGTTCAGAAAAAGTAATAAATAATCATGAGAAGCAATCACAGTCTTTGTTACAAAGGAGCACCTCATCAGGAAATAAAAGTCAAAAGCAGCAGACAGTAATAACAATGAATAATTCAAAGAATGAGCAAGTGGCCGGACAAAAATCAAATTTAACTCATACGTCCATTACCTCGTCCACTCATGTTGCTAGTCACACACAGCCAACAACCACTGCTAAACCCAGTTTTTCTACTAGAGTTCAGAATTTATTTAGCTCGCCATTGAATCTCTCTGACGTTCCAAATTCTAATGCCAACACAATTTGTGATGCAAAGAATCACACTGTATTTCCAATTAATAATAAAGTCGAAAGTCAGAATCAAGTTAATAAGAAAAATGATATTAACCAACTTAATAATAACCAAGATGCTAAAATGGAGTTAATAATTTTAGAAGATACAGATCAACTTAAAACATCAAAAGATAGTACAAAGCCTCTGCAGGATATTATATGATACATAATGATTTTTTTTAATTGGTATGGAAGTTAGATGTCACCTGGTTAATTGGACTTTGACCTTGTGATATAAATCTGTCAATGCTCCATGTAAAATGGAGCTAGCAGAATTTTCTGAATCATCAGCTTGGTCCACAGTGGGATCCACACATTGTGGATGTCCTCAGTCTGATACTCAGGTTACAAGGAATCCTGCTTGTGATACCCTGTTTAGAGAGGTGATACTCTCTGTACTGATGTAATGATACAATTGCCCTAGTAAAAATGTTCCAAAGCTACAATTGAAGGATACCAGTCCGTCCAAATCAATCCTGACTTCAGTATTTTAGCATTGGCTAGTGTGATCCTGTGACAGTTTTACTGGATTTGTTTGTTACTTGCTGTGGCTACAAAGAAGGGGTTACTAGAATTTGGAAATTTCTAAACCCTATTATACAAAAGCATAATTTGTAAACCTTATCAGCATATATTTTGATGTTTAATTGACCCTTTTCCACTTCAGAGATAAGATTTTCTTATGTTTATAAAGACTGATGTTTTGTTAAAGTTGATATGGGTAATTAAAATGAGAAGGCAAAGCTCTGACATGCTCATATATCTCGTGTAAAATGTAAATTTTTGTGTTACTTAGATTGCGGAGCTAGATTCATATTTTCATGTGTTGCGTATAATTAGGTTGGCAAGTTCATTGTTTAAATAAATCTATTAATTCTTAAACCTATTGAGGAATTTAATAATGAGAATTGTAAAGAGGTATACAGAATAATCGTCATAGAATATAGGTTTAACACCTGATATTGAGCTATTGGAAATATTAAAATAGTTACATGACCTTATAGAAACTTAAATGAAACATTGCTTAGTTTTCCTGTATATGTTTAATACGACTTGGTCTTTCACGAGATTATATATATATATTTTGGCCAAATATATATAGATATAAGAAGTAGCTGCTATAGGTGTTGGTTGGTGCCATGGGTGCAAGTTGTCGACAGAAACTGTGCCATTACTGCTGCGTGATGGTTTGTGCCTATTAAGGATTTTCTTATATTGGTGCTATTTTGAGTCACACATGTCTGAGTATTGTGATGTATATGATAGAATCTAGACTCTTTTAAATATAAAATAGTATATTCAATTTACATAGAATTTTATCTTGATTAGCTCGTTTATTATTCACGTTTCTTATCAGTTTTGCTTAGATCTTGAACATGATGTTATTTGCATCTTGAACAAAATAAGTACAGTATATTTCAATTTTATTCAAGGCTAGTCAAGAGTGTTGATTTACAGCTTTTGTTCGTTAATGGATTCACATGTACAGTGTGTCATGTAATGTGTATATCCAGTTACTTGACTGCATTATAGGTTGAATTATTTATCCAATTTTTTTTTTATTTTTTTTTAAGATAATTGTAAGAATTTTAAACTACCTATTATTTTCCACACGGTAGGATGTGATAGACAAGGTACATACAAGAGTGCAGACCTGCCAACAGATATTTGGTATATTTTTTTTTTTTTGTATATTATGGACTCTTTGGTACACAGCTACAGTTTATATTAAAAATTTTAAAATTTATGGACTGAGGAATAAGATTTTTAATGGTTGATTTTATCGAGGAATTCCCGGTCATCCACTCCCATGTTCTCTAACTTGAGCTTTGGACCATGACTAACCAGTCTTGTTGTGTGTTAGGTGGCAGATGTACAAGTTTTGTTCTCCTTAAATGTGCCATTTTGGTATTCAGTAGAAAGCCGTAATTTTTCACTTGAAAGGTAAACAAAAATTTTAAGGGAAGCAGCTCCTAAGATATGCTTCAAAACTGTCAATATAGGCTGTCTGCTTAGGGAAAGCTACATAGCTTGTTTCTAGCTGAATTTAGTAATGAATATTTTATATAAATTTCCATGTGTATGTACTGTGTATAGTGTACATGTGTGTGTAAATAGTGTAGTTTCTGAATGTGTTCATGTGCCCACATGAATTTGCATATTGTACATATATGGGAGACATCACATTCAATATGGATAACAATCTACTCCTTTCTAATATCTGGTAAATCAGATTGCATCTGATGCTAGACTTGAGTTGGTAGTGTGAATAACTGTGGCATGAAACAGAGCTGGTCTCTGTCATCCAAGTTCCTACACTACTTACACTCCCCTGCCAAAAAGGCTCCCTCCTCCTTATTCATTAGTTTTGTAAATTGTTAAGAATTATATATACTTAACTATTTTAGTGCATATAATGATATGGCAAATCAGTCAGTCTACTTCTCAATTTTGAGCTTGGAAATGTTATGCATCAAAGATTAGACGAGTGTCATCATTATTATGATAAACATTAAAATCTTTTGTCTATTCATATGGCTGTTCTTATATTGGGGGGTTTGTACATCAGTAATTTTGTATGGAAATATGAAACGACTATTATTGTGTTATGCGTATTTTATAAGCCTTGCCAATTACAGTATTTCCTTGTTAATGATGCTCTTTATCTAAATTTAAACTCTCATGTAAATACTTGGACACTAAGTGTTATTTGTATTAAATTGAAAATGTGTTTAAATTCATTCACACTGCCATTAACTTGTTTAATTATGCAATATTTCAGCCACCCTCAGTGGCTGATCCCTAGAATGATTGTATAACAAACTGAATAGAAAGGTAAATGATTTCACAAAAGGGGGTATCGAGTCACTCATTCTGAGCTCACTGATGAAATAGTAAGAATTGAAAACAAAGTATGATCCTAGTTATAGAAAAAACCTATACTGTATAGACTTATGGGGGAAATAAAGCTCGTACTCCTTTTTGCGTAACTTTTTGAGTGTAGTACCACTGTCATCAATACCCCAAAGAAAAAATATAGAAAATTAAAATATCTTTGTATTCTTGTTATAGAAAAAACGTTTAGATTACGGGGGAAAAACAAATCATTATCTTAAACTTCTTTGTGCTTTCAAACTGAAACTGTGTATGCAGTGGAAAAGCATCCACGTGCGATGAATATCCTGTCATCGCCACGAAACATCTTTGAATCAACTCAAAACCATTATATCGTCTATTTCCACAAATTCTTTCAGGCAGATCCTATTGTCATCACATTGTAATATTTTAATTGAATAATCCATAAATATCCCATTTGACAAGCCACCGAGGGGACACGTTCACGTCACATAGGCACCGAGGGCTTAAACTATTTAAATAACATAGCCACAATCTCTAGAAACTGTTTCAGTCAGAGGCAATTACTCATATCTAAAGATATGCTTCTCGGTATCCCTCATAGTCTAATGAACAAATCCACAAGGGCCATGACGAGGATTCGAACCTACATCCGAGAGCATCCCAGACGCTGTCCTCATAGTCTTAACATGCAGTGATTCTATATAGCAACCAGAAATGTCTCAAAGCAGGTGGGTTAATGACTTATTTGATGTAAAGCCAAATTAACCAGGAAATGTGTAGTATTTGTGTCAACACAAAATATTCAATGTTCAGTGAGCAGTTGATATTTTATTGTTTTAAACCTTTTGCCATTCAGTCACAAACATTGGCTGTGTAGTAATTGCCTGCTATCATGCAAGGCCCCCCCCCCCCCCCCCAAAAAAAAAAAAAAAGATGCATTTTTTAAATTTTAATAGCTGTGTGTGGTAATCAGCCAACTGCCTTTGCATTATCATGAATCTGCAATTGTTCTCTCTCTCCCCCCTGTGCATATTCATGAGTTTGTTGTCTCCCAGAATAGACTATTCCACAATTGAATTGTTCATCAAACAAGTATAAAATTTTCTGCACAGTTTGCAATCAGAAATGCATTGTGTGTAGCCATTTGCCTCCTATAAGCAGACTGAAATAAGTGGATTAAATTGACTTTTTCCAAAGTCATAAACTCGTTTAGAATTTATTAAAAAGAACATTGAATAGTGAGAATTTGGCTCTAAATTCATCAGCTACACAATGTTTTTGACAATCGAGTAAAAAATTGGAAAGTAATTCAACCTTATGAAAGAAACCTTGACAGCATCAGTGTAATATTTCATATCAAAGATCATTATATTCATTCTCTGTATTTTTAACTAAAAGTATGCATGCCACGTGGCAGAAATTATTTCCAGGTGTCAAGCCTGCCAGTCAACCACGTCCATAACCATGTTCCGTGCCAATGTCTTTGTTTAAATTTATGTCAACATACCCATGTGACTTGTATGATCAGTGATCAGCAGATATCTTGAACTTTAATGCTATGTATTTGTAAGAAATCTGGATCTTGAGGTCTGGATTTTTTGTGTGTATATATATATTACACATTAATATATATATTATATTATATACAGTATATATATATATGAGAAAGGCTGCAGGAACATGTAAGCCATAAATCACCAAGAACTCTATATGACCCCACTAGGATTCGAACCCATGACGTCCAGGATCACCCCTAAACGTACACGGTATTGTGACCACTGCAACAATTGATCGTTTAATTAAATTAAGTGATCGTCTAGACGCTCAGTTGGTGCGGTAGTCGTGGTACTGTGTACTTTTAGGGGGGGATCCTGGACGTCATGGCTTTGAATCCTGCTCGGGTCATATAGAATTCTTAGTGATTATATGTATATACTTGTGTATACTTATATTTTTATATTGTGTATATAACACACATGAATCAAACAAAATCTTGAGCTGTTGACCTGTGGATGGTTATGATAGCAGTTGTAGATTAGGGATGCATTAGAGCACTGGTTCATGATTGTGTAAATGTAAGTGTATCTTTATATAGGATTTTCATCTAGTGATTTTTAGTTTTATTGATTTGGTTTTATGTTCCTGTTTATTTCAACCAAAGAAGTTGCAGGCTTGTGACTAAAGTCTATTATCAACAATTCTGGTAAAAACCTTAAGAGTGCTTAAGTGGTTCAAAATGTTGAATATATAATTTTAAATTGGATAGATTTATTTGGAGTTGAATGTATGTGTTTCTGTAGGGATTGAGAATATGTATTTGTTTGGGATAGTATATTTAACAAGAAAAATATGTACACCCTACAAGCCCTAAATGTATGATTCAGAAAGTTTGACCCTGCATAGAGATTTTAACAAGTCTTGATTATGAGAAGAGGCTAAATAATATGGTAATACAGGTATATATATATCTTGTCAACAAAGTGTAATATTGGATTCCCTATCAAGGTTTTTAATTTTTTTTATTTAATGACATAAGCCATCTTGGAGAACTAGCCATTTAAATTTTTAGATATAACTAATATCAGAACCTAGTCTATTGCAAATTTACAGAAAATCTTTTGTATCTAACTATAGGTTCATATTAGTGTGGTGAAGCTCTTGTTATATTGGAGGGTCACATCAGTATTATGCAGTTCTAGGCACTCTTACCATTATACAGGGGGTCCCATAAGTCTAAAATTATTGGACTAATTGAGGAAACAAGCTTTTATTAGCTATTATTTTATGCACAATGTGTCAACCATTACCGGCTGCATAGTATCGATCATAATTACACGATCGATGTCGAGGTGATGGTTATAAACTTACGGGGTACCCTGTATACCCTGAATTTGGGTGGAGCCAAGCCAGTGTGTATAAATATTAGAAGCTGAACAAATTTAATTCTAAAATCTAATATGGCAATTCATAAAAAGCTCCAAGTTGTGGCTTAGTGGGTTAATAATGGTTTTTTAATCTAAAAATGTATTGTTCCATATGCCTGTGGCATTTAATATAATGTTTGATAATTAGAAATCATAAAAATATCTTTGCAAACATGGTAATAATTAAATTAGTTTTATATTTGGAGTTTATTTTTAGGAGTGCCACAAAGTAATATTTTTATTGTCACACTCCATCTATACATGTTTGCGAGACAAATGATCAAAAGAAATCTACAAATCATTAATATCAATGTGTTTGATATTTTCCAAGCCATTGATTCATGACAGTTCATTAATGGTCATTGACAGTTATTCAAATCTTGGTAACTTAGTGATAGTCTATTATATATGACTGGTAAGTGTCACACCTTGATGCTTATGCCATAATTTGTTCCTACCATGGTACTTTTTCTCCCCCCCCCCCCTCTCCTACACCCTCCTATTTTATTAAACTGCCTTCATGTAATTTATAGCTCATTTCAGTCTTAATTATTATTTCATACATAAAATTGTGTTAATTTTCCTCCAAGGATGCAGCCGTGTCTGTAACGTCTTCCATATAGTCATTGAATGTTATGTTAGGTGTTGCTTATTTCAATAAAAAAACTTTCCCTTTTCATGAAATTTATAAAAAGTCACATTACACAATCTCGTCAAAGCAGCTTTATAACAAAGCGAGTATCATTCCTAATGGATTTAATTTGTTAATTCAACGTGAGGCTGTATGAATCTCATTTTTAAAAATTTTACAAAATTTAATAGGATCTGAAGATTATGCAAGCTTTAATTATTGATATTACTTGTTTAACAGTCTTTTTGAAGGGCACGTTATCAAATTTTTTGTCTTTCTTGATACATGGCTGTTTGAAATAAATAAAGGTGGTGATAAACTAACTTGTTTTCTTTATATATCTATATTATGTTAATGAAAAATTTACATCGAAGATGGATTGTTTTTGTGATGGAAGTGATGAAGTTAAAAACCATGTGATATAAGACATTCTTATATATAGATATATGACAGTGTCAGACCACGGAGGAAAATTGAAACAGGAATTTTTAATACATCTTCAGAAGGAGTGTATTAACATCTTCACTCCTTCTGAAGGTGTATTAATATACGAAAGTACTTAAGGAAATTCCCGTTTCAATTTTCCTCCGTGGTCTGACACTGTCACATTTTTAATCACGTGTTTATTTTCGTGATATACACACATATAGATATATATATAGATATAGAGCTTCTCTTACCTTAAAGGAAAAATAACAAGTGATAGTGAAAGGAATGCAACCAGAGATTCAAAAACATATACCAAATGGGAGCAGAGTGGAGACGACAGAAAAAACATTGCCTAGTGTAGTAATCACCGATGAAGAGACAATAAGTAGATATCTGATGAAACTAAATGCAACAAAGGCAGCTGGACCAGACTGCTAAAGGAGCCGGTCGGCCGAGCAGACAGCACGCTGGACTTGTGATCCTGTGGTCCCGGGTTCGATCCCGGGCGCCGGTGAGAAACAATGGGCAGAGTTTCTTTCACCCTATGCCTCTGTTACCTAGCAGTAAAATAGGTATCTGGGTGTTAGTCAGCTGTCACGGGCTGCTTCCTGGGGGCGGAGGCCTGTCGAGGATCGGGCCGTGGGGACACTAAAGCCCTGAAATCATCTCAAGATAACCTCAAGACCAGATATTACCATGGCTGCTAGAGCAGGTTGTAGGGGGTACTTTGTTACCCACTGTAGAATTATATAGCGAGTAACAGAGAATTATATAGAATTTTCAGATAATTGCTTGATTTCAAAGCTGCTAAAAGTCTTTAAAATGGGGAAAATATGACCAAAGTTATGGTCATAACAAGAGGGATGAGAATGAAGGTAAAACGTGCTCGAGTAAACTCTGAATCCGCATTAAAAACTGATTACTGTTACAATGTTATTTTTCCCCAGATCTAGGGAGTGGTGGAACATCTGTAGGCAACATACTTTGTAATAGGAAAGAAGGTTCTTGAGGAAGAAATTCATATTTGACTTTTAAAGTTTCATAAAATCCCGCAGGCAGTGAAACCCCTCCAAAAAGACTAAGGAATGGAATGGAATCTGAAATTGATGTTAGAATGCAGCTGCAGAATGTAAAATCTACTTTTTTTTTATTAAAAATTACTGTACTACTTAAAATAAAAGATACTGTACCAGTATTAAAAATGCTTGAGCTTTTTTAATTTTTTGAGCATAACTGAAGATGATTAAATTTATTTCAAATATGTACTGTCATTTTATGATAAAATTTAATCATTAGGAAAAATTAAGGTTTTTCACCTTTTACTCAACTTTACCTCTAGTTTGAAAAACAGGATGGATATTTTTTAAATTACTGTATGCTCTATTACTAATTTTCAGCATGATGAAAGGAGACTGACTAAATTTAAAAGTTTTAATTATGTACATTTCATAAGGAAATTTGACCATAAGGAAAAATGGAGTTTTTTCTCATTTTACCCAAACTGACCTGTACCTGTAGTTTGAAAAATATGGAATCACTACAGTAGCATGGTAGGTATCACTACAGTAGCATGGTAGGTATCACTACAGTAGCATGGTAGGTATCACTACAGTAGCATGGTAGGTATCACTACAGTAGCATGGTAGGTATCACTACAGTAGCATGGTAGGTATCACTACAGTAGTGTGGTAGGTATCACTACAGTAGTGTGGTAGGTATCACTACAGTAGCATGGTAGGTATCACTACAGTAGCGTGGTAGGTATCACTACAGTAGTGTGGTAGGTATCACTACAGTAGTGTGGTAGGTATCACTACAGTAGTGTGGTAGGTATCACTACAGTAGTGTGGTAGGTATCACTACAGTAGTGTGGTAGGTATCACTACAGTAGTGTGGTAGGTATCACTACAGTAGTGTGGTAGGTATCACTACAGTAGTGTAGTAGGTATCACTACAGTAGCGTGGCAGGTATCACTACAGTAGCATGGCAGATATCACTACAGTAGCATGGCAGATATCACTACAGTAGCATGGCAGATATCACTACAGTAGCATGGCAGATATCACTACAGTAGCATGGCAGATATCACTACAGTAGCATGGCAGATATCACTACAGTAGCATGGCAGATATCACTACAGTAGCATGGCAGATATCACTACAGTAGCATGGCAGATATCACTACAGTAGCATGGCAGATATCACTACAGTAGCATGGCAGATATCACTACAGTAGCATGGCAGATATCACTACAGTAGCATGGCAGATATCACTACAGTAGCATGGCAGGTATCATCTATAAGATCATGTAACAAAGGTCATATACGTAAGAAATTTCTTTAGTGGGAAAACTGCAAACAAATGTGAAACGCAAACTAAACACACCACTCAAATACATATTGAGTTAGACAACACCCATGGAATCATGTGGTAACACATCAGTTTATTAATTGTTTGGAGGTGAGGGCCCAAGAGCTGAAGTTACCTACCACAATGCATGGTAAGGTGAGTGCAATTAAGGTAGTGCACACCAGATTCTACAGACAGGAGGAACAATGACAGCTTATTTCTTATTCCATCAATAATATTTATGAATGTCAAAGAACATAACAGCCAAGAAAGGCAGCAATTTAAGACTTCATCTACTGTAAAGAGATTTTTTTTAGAAATGTGGAAAATAAAATCCCTTGTTTTAGAAATGTGGAAAAACTCCCTTTATTCTGTCTAGCTCACTGCTCCTAACTTTTTTAGCTCGTAATTAAAAACTAAATTTTTTGTCAGGAAGGTATCTATCTGTTCGAGGCGTTAGTCTGGCCGCATTGTGATCTTTGTGGACGTGTGACGAGACCTTTGCCAACTAGAGGGCGAGACCTTTCAAGAAAGCGAGGGGCCATCTGTCACACTTTCACTGCTGATAAAGGAATCATTACTCTTAACCGTGGCGAGCAAGTATTCACTTTATTCAGTCTACTTCAGGAAGAGGCGAAGATAGACTAATGTAGTCAAGAAACTTTGCAGCATTAACGATCATTTCATATTGACCAGACCACACACTGGAAGGTGAAGGGACGACGACGTTTCGGTCCGTCCTGGACCATTTTCAAGTCGATTGTCACAATCGACTTGAGAATCGACTTGAGGACTGGTCAACATTCTTCAGCCACGTTATTGCGATCATTTCATACATTTTCGACATTAGTGGCTGTAAAACTATTCGAGGCATTATTTGTATGGGTAATTCGTTGTTGGCTGCATCATGAATAAGGTTATTATAGTTGGCCAGTTGAGACCTCAATAAACCTAAGCACAGGTCTTTTATCCCGACTACGGTTATTATTTCAACCTTCGACCGGCGTGGCCGTGCCTGGTGCTACAGTGGTGTTCAAGTTTGTTTATTGAGACAAGAAAGAAATACATCTCAAAGGGATATAGTAGCTTAGGCTATTTCTACCCCCCTCCCCCCCCTGAGTGGTGTTCAACAGGCTAGAGAGAACAGTGACCTCACTGTCGTATACATAAGAACATAAGGTAACTATCTGTGTCTAAGGTGTCTATCTGTATCTAACAATGTGCTTTAATATACCTACTTATCTCTCTCATCTCATTTTTCTCTTGTAATGTATCTTTATCATTTATCAATTCTGATTGAAATTACCTACTTAAAATTATCTGCTAGATTAAGGACCTGCCCGAAACGCTGCGCGTACTAGTGGCTTTACAAGAATGTAAATACTGTACTATCCAATGTATTCTCACAAACCCAATGTACCTTCTTGTATATATATAAATAAATAAATAAATAAATAAATAAATAAGAACACAGGTAACTGTAGAAGGCCTATTGGCCCATACGAGGGAGCTCCTATTTATAACCACCCAGTCCCACTCATATACATGTCCAACCCACGCTTGAAACAATCAAGGGACCCCACCTCCACCACGGTACGTGGTAATTGGCTACACAAATCAACAATCCTGTTACCGAACAGGGTTGACACCTGACAACCATTCTCACGGTTCCCCACTCAGTCCAACCTCAAACACGTAAGACGTTCAGCCACACTCAGTTTCACTCTGAATGTTCATGGCCTGAAGCAGTCCGTCATGCAGCGACCATTCATCATTCATTTGGACCGCATTTGGAACGTGTTCCCACAATATACATGTTTGCTAAACCAGGGCGTCTCCTCATCTTCTGGTGTGTGGTTTATACTTTATATATACCCCAGTATTAGCAAACCGAAACCATATATCATAATACGCATCGTGGACGTCTTTATCTGTTCGGACATGTCTCGTGGACAAATTGATCTATCCATACAAGCAGCCCAGGTGAACTTCATCTATCAGATCAAGATGACCTGGGCGGCTTATGCAATCTGCACTGCCGCCCAGGACTTCATGATCTATCTGCGCTTTATTGATCTAGCAGCCTAGACACCAGGAACACCACCTGTACATTGAGTACATGAACACAACACCAATATTGCAATATGAAAGTTGTCTCGAATTGCAGAAAAGAATCCCTGGCAACTGCTTCACTGTACTAGGTCTTATAAAGTGCGCGGCCCGCTAACGAAGCCCTCAGTGTGGGTCCGGAGTCGGTGGAGTCAAGTAGGTGCTTTCCCATACGTTCACCCTTCTTTACCGTAAACTCCGGATCTCACTATTTCTCCCTCTTGCTCTGACTTTCGTTATCTCTTCCCATTGGGCTGATTCTCACTATCGCTTGCCCACACTATCCCTCACTATCGCTCGCCCACGCCACTTAACAATAATCTCAGTAACTACAGTGCTAACGTTAAAACTAAAGACAGATAACTAACATTAAGACGAGTTATATAGTGACTAAATAGATCTTATACCTGTAGCTGCGCTGACAGTGCAGTCACTGATGTTTATGACAGTCAATTCAGTCATGTTTGGTGGTGGATTTACGGCTGTTAGTAGTGGATTTAGTGCTGTCAAGAGTATTCAGAGGCACATGGCTGTAGTGGTGAGAGTGGATTTACTGATGATGACTGGATTTACTGACAATGACAGAATATGAAGGGGTGTTTATAAACTTGGTGATGATTGCAGATTTAATGGTGTTTGTAGATTTTTAATGGCAGCAGATTTAGTTGTGATATATTTTGTTTCTTTAATATATTTTACGTCAATGACAATAGGTTAGGTGGTGATATTAGTGGTATCTGCAGTGCAATCAGTGGTGGTAGCTGTGAATTTATTCGTGGTAATGGTAGATTTTATTGTGATAGCAGGAATTTAGTGTGTCAAAGATTTAGTGGTAAAGTGGATAGTGCCTCTTGATTTAGTGGTAGTGGCTGTGGATTTAGGGGCAGTGAGGTTCTCGTGATAACGAGAATGACGATAACGGAACAAGATATATATAAATATACATCTAGTACTGCAACTTTGCAACGGAATGTTAAATGATTAAAGGCAAGTGAAATCTACCCACAACAATGACCTAAATTCCAGATACATATTTACTGCTATGTGGACGAAGGCATCAGATGCAAGGAAATGTGGCCAAACGTCGCACACAACTTGAGAATTGAATCTGAAACCATACGGTACTGAGGAGACGTCTTAACTAACGGAACTCTTACCAATGCTAACATGTTGTTGTTGATAGGGGGAAGCTGATAGCCAGGAGTTAGTTTAGTTTAATTCTACTAGGTGGCTCTGCTTCTGTCTCAACTCTCACTCAACTCAAGGGCCATGTTTCTGTCAACCCTCATCTTAAGGTCCCCGTTTCTGTCTCAGCCCTCATCACAGGGGGCAGTGTTTCTGTCGCATAGCCTCTCTGTTTCCGTCAGAAACTAGCAAGTGGCCCGTATTCATTTTCACCCTTCTTCAGTGGTCAATCACCATCATACAAGTGAAGACAAAAAGACATGTGAGAGGGAGAGTGAGATTAGAATCCCTGTCATTGGAAAATTATATTCCAATCCTTGTCTAAGTCGATATCTTCTTCTCACTAAAGTTTATGCATTTTTGTTTTTTGTTTTCAGACAAAATTGCTAAGTGGAAGGAGCGACTTGTGGACTCAGTTATGCTTTTCTTTGCCGCTTTCAGCTTCTGGGGCCTCTTCCTAGTCTTCTCTTTATGGCATTTCCTATTCTTATTGGCCCCAGTAACCTCGCCCGTCTCCTCATTCCCTTCATCAAGATTTGCTCTCACAACCAGAAGAGGTCGCGTCTCTGCCAGTCCTGGCTCTCTGCTACTCCAGCAGGCGGAGCGTGATGATACAGAGGTGATAATATGGACTCCACCAGAAATACAAGCAACACTACCAAGGTCACACGAAACACCGTTTAATCCACTACCAACGCCACCAGGAACAGAACAAACATCAGGACGTCAGGCATCATCAGTTCCACAAACAGCCGTAAACACCCATACAACACCAACACTAGAACCGTACCACTTAAAGACAACACACGAAGGTACTAAAATATGGAACACGGTAACCAGAGACTCCGCACAAGAGCCAGTACTCCCTTCTGACGAGTACTTGCACGCAACGAGTATTATGCCGACAGGAGCGAGACAGAAGAGAGAGAGGAGCGGATGGTTACTGAGCGAGGCAGAGACAGCATCCCTGGTGCTGCTACTGACACAGGTGGTACACCAGGAGCTGACGGGCTGTGCCCTGGTGGTGGCCTACGACCCGCCTTACCACCAGTCAAGCCTCCTACACCACCTGCTGCGTCTTCCTCACCTCAGACAGGTGAAGCAGCTACGTTAAAGTTCTTGCTCGTAGACACAGCCATGACGTAAATAATCATATATAACAATCACGACGACATATTGCCTTATTCTGCGTCACTCATAAATAACTAAAAATACAAATAGTGATATTGTGCTTGTCGTGTTCTCGTTTTCTTTGTGCAACTCTCCCGCTTGTTGATGAAAAATAGTTGCAATGTCTTTCTCTTCTTCCTCTCATTTCCGCTCGGAGGCAGCAGGTGGTTGAGGTGAGGGCACTAGAGGACCTGGCCAGGTTGGTGTGGAGGTCTACGCAATGTCAAGGCTACCTCCTCCTTTTCAAGGACCCCGCTCCCCTCGCGGCCTTCGTCGACGTCGACGAGGACTCCTGGGACTACCACGGCAGGTATATATACATCATGCAGGTAGTGATGCACCTTCCCCGCCCCCAACCGAAGAGTGATAGAGTGGTCTGAGTCCTCGATTCACAATCGAGAGAATTTTGGGTTCGCTCACCGGGCGGGATACCAATGGTTGGGTCATGTTGTCTTTCATCCGATGCCTCTTTTCATCTAGCGTTAAATAGGTACTCGAGAGTTAGGAAATTGTTGTGGGTTGCATACTGGAAAAGGTCAATAGTTGGCCCAGAGGGGGGGGGGGAGAGGATCTCGATACGTACAGGCTTTCTGTTCCCAAAAAATGGAATTATTATTAGGGCCGAGAAGTGTGACGAGTTGGTTATGGTTGTGCAAGGTACGTGGATACCACAGAAGTGTAAGGTGATGGGGGGTGGTAGTAGTGTGTGCTGGCGGTGATGTACATCAAGTATATGGTTGTGGTGATTGTCATGGTGGTTGTGGGAAAATGCTCGTTTTCTTTTTAACCAAAACGTAACAAAGCACAAAAACTTCTTCGCTGTTATGGTCGAGGTTCAGAAACTGGTGGTGGGTGTAGGATTTTTTTTTTTCAGGGAAATTTTGACGCGAGCCCTAAGCCTCAGAGGCTGGCCCACTACAGTGATGGCGGCGGCTGCAGAGGCGGGGGATGATTGAGTATCGATAGTGAGGGGTGGCGATATTGATAGTGAAAGCATGAGGGTATTGTGTTGTTAGCGGCTTTGAAGAGTACTGCCACATTAGTGACTCCCAGTAACCACGTCCAACCACTTGGACTGGACGGTAGAGCGACGGTCTCGCTTCATGCATTTCGGCGTTCAATCCCCAACCGTTCAAGTGGGTTGGGCACCATTTCTCCCCCCCTCCCCTGTCCCATCCCAAATCCTTATCCTGATCCCTTCCCAGTGCTATACAGTCGTAATGGCTTGGTGCTTACCATTGGGTGTCATGGTGCTTAACCCTGACACTTCCCTCCCAGTAATCACATCTCGCCTGCAGGTTCGTGGTTGTGGGGACGACGAAGGATCAACTGCAGAGCCTCGCTCTCTCGAAGAAAGGGGCCAAGACAGAGCACCTACTCGGGCTGGTCAAGGTAAAATACGCCTGTTAGCATGGTTGGAGACGCTTGCTAAGACGAAGGACCAGCTAGTCCTTCGTTGGTGTAGATTCACTCATATATGTATATATGTAAACATCAATATATATGTGGCATATACACATATACATACACACACACACACATACACATTCTCATCAGCATAATAACGTTTGCAACATATGCAAAATGACGAATATTCAAATAGCCTTATGAAATCTAGATAACGAAGCCGTCAGAATATAAAACTTGTGCACCCATTCTCGAGTATGCTGCCCCAGTATGGAATGCTACACTTGAAGAGACAATCTAAGACTAAAGAAAGTGCAGATATATTCAACAAGCCTGGTCTCTAAATTGAGAGGAATGAGCTACAGTGAAAGATACGGAAGCCATGACTAGGCTTCAGTGGATCCCTCGGGGAAAATAAACATAACATCTCTAGAGAATGCAGTTGAATCCCAAGTGGTCTAGAGCGATGCTTGGGAGAACCCAGCATATAGGTTCGCATCCTCCTCCTGCTTCCTATTGATTTTCTCAAGCAATTGTCATATTTGAAAGGTTTTGACAAGTGTCAAACGAAGATGCATCGGTGGTTTTGAAAACGTAAACACGTCAGAAATGTTTGTAATTGTTCTTGGTGTATAAGGGCCGTAAATAAATGGAATTGGAAGAGGTTAAAATAGGATGTGTTGAAACAACTTCCATTCTCAGCTTCACATGTCTGAGAAGTTGCACGGAGAAAGATTTTATGAAATATAGAACCCTGCGAACACATTTAGGCGAGTATACCCCTGGCCACATTACCCAATTATACCGTTAACAAACAACTTGTGATACCAGGACACCAATCGTCCTGCTCATTTTGATTCCAATACAGTCAGGGCGAAATTTAGGCGACAGAACCTATGTATGCACCAAGCTTGAAGTGACAAGGCTTCTTAATGTCGCACAACACTCTTAGTATGACAACGGAGATGATAATAGCAAGATTGAAGAATGAGGAGAGTGGCATAGCCAGCCAGGGAACAACACGAGAGTGATCGATGTTGCATGTGCCTCCTGTACAATCATGATTTGCACCGCGATGAATAATTCGATCTTGACCACAATATTAACATTCTTATGAGAATGTGTGCTAACTATCGACTGTCTCTACAAAACTTCCCTTTGTATATCAAACTTCCCTCCCTCACTTTCCTCCCTCTCCCCCTTCCTTTCCTCCCTCTCTCCCTTCCTTTCCTCCCTCTCTCCCTTCCTTTCCTCCCCCTCTCCCTCCCTATCCTTCAGTTATGATTATTTATACAGTTCGTAAAGCCTTCAGGTTTCCTCTGTAGTCTCTCCACCGCTTCTCTTACCTTCAGCCATGTCTTCTCTCCTTTATGAGAGAATATTACATTTGACATCGTAATTACAGTTCATCTCAAACTGATTCTATTGGACTCTAGTCCAATAGAATCCTTTCTGACGATAGAGGGCACAGGCGCCCCCCATACTGCAGGCCAGCACGGCTCAGGGACGCGAGGCACGACTAAAAATCCAGTTGGCTCACACCACATACTGAGAACGCTCCCGAGAGTGTAGAAGAGTCGTCGCCTTAAGCAGTGTTGTCTTATGTCTAGTGTGTGGCTGTTATCCCATGTCAGGTGTGTACCTTTTGTCCTGTGTCAGGTGTGTGGCTGCACTATAGGCCACTACACTTTTCATCCCACTCATATTTCACCTCCATACCTTTTCCTGAATTTCCATCCTTATCCCTTATCCTCACACTTACCAACCCCTTTGGTCCTGAAAGCTAAAAACTCCAGGGTCCTTACCATGACAGTCGTGGCGAGAGGGGTCGTGGGTGGTGTACACGAATAACCTGTACCGGAAGAGCCCCCTCCGTCGTCTCACCACCTGGAGGAGCACCTCTTTCACGACCTCCACCACCACTCTCTTCCCTGACAAGCTGGCCAACCTCCGGGGCTCCCTACTCAAGGTGAGGACACCTACTTCCTTATGATCATTAATGTTAATTTAGTTTCTTTTGATTAGTTTTTGTGTGGGAAGGAAGGTGGGATGTGTGCGCGTATAATTTCCGTTGTAGGGGACAGGAAGCATAATAATTATGTATATTTAGCTGTCGGGTATTTCGTTAAAAGTCAGACGACTTTCTAATATTTTTGTACAGTCTGTTGGCTGAGTGGTTATAGTACTGGACACGCCATTAATCCTATGTGACTGTACTCGCAACGTTTGTGATATTTTATTAAACTGAACTCTAACCCTGCCAGGCGGCGTGCATACGATTACCAGCAGGTCAACCTTACTTGATACTCTGACCTTCCGTAAGCAGAATATTTACCTGCTAGGGCCTCGTAATACATTTTAATTTAATCGTAATTTACCTGCTTTGTTTTCGACTCGTAATCTGGAATTAAGCAAATTTGCTGTGGGGTTTCATCCTGGGAAGGGTCAGTAGTTCCACCATGAGTGTCCTCGATACAAGCTTAAAGTGTATATATATATATATATATATATATATATATATATATATATATATATATATATATATATATATATATATATATATATATATATATATACACAGGCTTCCTGTCTCTGACAAAACGAATTATTATACGAACACCTGAACACCTATACGACTGAAAACTCATTCGTATTCCGCAACCTGTGCCTTTCTGCTCCACTGTGGGTGCGACAGGTGTCAACATTCGAGTGGGAGCCAAGCGTGTTGTATTACCGTGACGTGACCGGCAAGTTACAGTTTCCTTATGGCATTGATATCGAGGTGGTCAATGCCCTCTCCAGCGTCATCAATTTCACTGTTGTCTTTGAAGAACCTCCTTCGGGTGAGTATGCGACCTGTTGTATTCCTCCAGGTGAGTGTGTTTCTTGACGTTGGGAAACTTTAGGAGGTCGGGCTGGAGTGTGAACACCAGCCTTGGTTCTCAGGTGTAAGCGACACATACTGTAGTCTTTAGATAAGTGTGAATGCAATACGTGTCGTAAACATCAAGTAAGAGTTGTCTGACACCTGTATGATACTTGATTGTAACTTTCATATACATGTATGTCTTCTCATCACCGGTTTGTTGAAACCATTTTCTATTTCAGGTGAATTCTGGGGAGTAATGAGCGAAAACGGGTCTTGGTCTGGCATGATGGGGAAACTATTTAGGAACGAGGCGGACCTCGGAGTGGCCAACTTATTCTTAACGTTGGGTCGATTAGGAGCCGTTGACTACAGTGCTCCCTACGATGCCGAGGTTAGGGAGATAAATTATTTAAGTTGATAAAAAAATAGTGTGAGGGCGAGAGCGAGAGAGGAACGAACAAAAGAGCAAGAGTAAAGTTTACCCGAATTTGCCCAAGGGCCACCATCTTTCTAGTGGCCCCGACGGGGACAGGAAGCAGGTGGCTTATCAAAGGTCCCACCATTGCTCCATAGGATTTTTTCAAACTGGATTTTGAACTGCAGTAAGAGAGAAGAGAGAGAGAGAGAGAGAGAGAGAGAGAGAGAGAGAGAGAGAGAGAGAGAGAGAGAGAGAGAGAGAGGGAGGGAGGGAGAGGGAGAGGGAGAGTGTGTGTTGGGGAAAACGATGGTTATTGACAGGCTTTAGATGCATGGTTATGTCGATTTCAGTAGTCGAGTAGTCAGTAGTCAGCAAGCACATAAGGTGTATACAAGCACACACAGGTTCCGTGCACTACTCCCGATCACTTGCCGGTTGCAGGTGAGTTGCTTCATGGTGCGCACCGACCCGCCGGCTCCCCAGTGGCTCTCCCTGGCCCTGCCCTTCCAGGGTGCCACATGGGCCACGTTGATGGGCGGGGTGATGGCCGCTGGCCTCGTCGTATTCTGCCTCGCCTCCCTCGGTGCCCGATGGTAAGCCGAGCTCTTCAGTGGATAGTTTATGTGTATTTCGTCCAAACATTGAGTATCTCGGTGCACCCAATTCATGTATCCACGCCGAACTTTGCATATTATTCGCATTCAAGACATTTGTTTTGTAACAATGACTAGTTTGTGTGTTGTGTATGCGCGCAAGAGCCGTTAACTCGTCTGAGTCATGTAGTATGACTAGCCATGACCCATGAATATATTCATAACCACTGAGCATGTTCACTTTTGGTTATAACTGCAACCATCAGTATAACTAGATACTGGAAATATAATCCTAGTTACAGTTACAGCCCCGCTCCTGTGCCAGGTAAGTCCACTATGGCTCACCATAGCCCGTGCTACTTGGAACTTTTTGTTCCGAGTAGCTGAATCTAAAACAACAACATATAGTCTTATTACCCTCTACCCAGCGGCGGAGGAGAGGTGAAGAGCTTGGAGTCGCTGGTGTTCGCCTACTTCTTCTCCTTCTCGATGCACTTCAGGGACCCGCAAGCGGTATTACCCCGCAGGAACCACATGCGTATCTTCGTCAGCTTCCTGGGGCTGTACGCCATCATCATCACCACCGCCTACAGCTCCAACCTCACCGCCTTTCTTACCGTAACTCGCAGCCCTCAGAGCATGGACACGATCAAGGAGCTCTGCGACTCTGATATGGAGATCTCCGGCCTCGGGGGGTTCTTCAAGGGCGCCCTGGCCTCTGCTGTTGATCCGTATCTTCAGGTGAGTGAAAAAGGAAAACGTGACGCTGGAGACGGTAGTGCGGGGCAGACAATGATATATGGTGGGTACTGGTGTAGATGGTGGGTACTGGTGTAGATTATGGGTTCTGGTGTAAATAGTGGGTACTGGTGTAGATGGTAGGTACTGGAGTAGATGGTGGGTACTGGAGTAGATGGTGGGTACTGGAGTAGGTGGTTGATACTGGTGTAGATTATGGGTTCTGGTGTAGTGGGTACTGGTGTAGATGGTGCATGGGTAGTGGTATAGACGATGTTAATTCCAACATAGATGCTAGATCCATTTGTGGAACGAAGAGTTATGTAGACACACTTCATAAGAAGGGACCAAAGCTTCCTTCTTATGAAGTGTGCTGGGACCTCTCTCAACAGCAAGTTAATTCTAATTCACCATTAACTTGCTGTTGAGAGACCAACAGCAAACAGCTAACCAGAATATCTCGTGTGCCTATATAATACCAATATGGGTGTGGTCATCCATCCCTCAACAGAGGCTCGGGGATAGGTTCGTGGGTTACCAGGAGCTTGAGGTGGTCTGGCCCAAGGTGAGGAAGGGCCGAGCTGCCTACCTCCACAACCGCCAGTTCCTGGAGTTCGTCATTACTACTCACTTCAGCAGTCAGGGCGTCACCAGTATGAGGATCATGAAGGTGAGGCACCTTCATTTCATCCCCAAGTATGAGGGGTTATGAGGAAAATCCATCTCACCAGTTAAGGCGTTGCTAATATGAGGTAAAGGGCACCTCACGAACTCAAGCAGTTACTAGGAGTAATTATCCTCATTCAAAATAAGAACATAAGAACAAAGGTAACTGCAGAAGGCCTATTGGCCCATACGAGGCAGCTCCTATCTATAACCACCTAATCCCACTCATATACTTGTCCAACCCAAATAACTATAACTTTTTCTATCTCACCTTTAAAGCTACTATAAAACAGCAAACACAAATTCATCTCGGATCAGGAAAAATGACAGATTGTGCCACTGGTAATTTTGATAACCAAATCTGAGCACCACAGGTGTGACCCTGAAATTTAAACTAACAAGAGATGTTGACCAAACTACACACTAGAAATTGAAGAGATAACGGTCCAAGACGGACCGAAACATCGTCGTCTCTTCCAATTTCTAGTGTGTGCTTTGGTCAACATTTTTCAGCCACATTACTGTGACTCCTCGTCTGCATAACAAGAGATGGCTGTGGTACTTGCAGGAGTGCTTCGCCCCCTACAGCATCGCTATGGCCCTTCAGCACCACTCGCCCCTCAAGACCAACTTCGACCGTGTTATTAGATGGATGATCGAGAGCGGTTTGGTGCGACGGTGGTTCCTCCAGTCGCTCAGGTTCTCCCGCAAGGTGATGTACTCTTCCCCAGTGCAGTTACAGCCCCGCTCCTGTGCCAGGTAAGTCCACTGCGGGCTCACCATAGTCCGTGCTACTTGGAACTTGTTCCGAGTAGCTGAATCTATAACAACAACTCCCCAGTGTGTGTGTGTGTGTGTGTGTGTGTGTGTGTGTGTGTGTGTGTGTTTAAGAGAGTTGAGCTAGAGCTCATGGGAGAGATCCACCGTTCTGTATGATATATATTCATACAATATTGTATTTTTTTGTTACATTAAACAATTTACGAACAAAAGAACACGAGGTCATAAGAATAACTAAACAATAACATAAGATATAACTAAAGTTATATCACTCATTCACATACATGTTTAACCTTAGTTTGAAACATCCCATCGATCGCACATATATCACCCGGCAGTTTATTCCACAAATAAGCAACCATGTTCCAAACTTAGATTAAGACAAGTACGTGGTTGCGTGACCAAGTGGATATAACCAGACACGTGCCCGTCACGTGCTTCCAGTCCTCTGAGTTTACGTGTTCCAAACACCTTCCAAACCGCACCACGTCACAAGTGCAATGCATTCTCAGGAGGAACTGAATGTTCATCTCAGTATGGCCCCCGGAAGTTAGAATACTCTTGTGGACTGTACCCCTGAGAGAGGTCAGTAGTTCATCAAGGGGGATCTCCATAAGCTTGATAAGATCTTAATAAGCTTTCCTGTCCCCATTAACGTGAAATTGAAATAAGTTTATTGAGGTAAAATACACACAAAGGGATGAGGTAGCTCAAGCTATTCTCACCCCGTTCAGTACATCGTGTTAATACATACATAGACACACATCACAAACAATAAACATATTACCAAATAACGTGAAAGGAAATGTGACAAAAAATGAATATCTTACTGTATATATGAGTATCTTACTGTATATATGAGTATCAAAATACTGTACTACCCATTTTAAAATACTGTACTACCCATTTTAAAATACTACCCATTTCCCCAATATTAGGACTTAAGACATATCTTCATCAGTGTAACCACCTCTACTAATTTACATTGTAGTTATTTGTTGATATAAAAACCTTGCTACAATGTACCTTTTCACCTTACCTGATATGTTAGATTAAAGACCTGTCCAAAACGCTATGCGTGTTAGTGGCTTTGCATGAATGTAAAAATATCAATCTTATGTAATGTCACCAACTCATTGTACCTTCTTGTGAATATAATAATAATTATTATTATTTTTTATTATTATGAGTAGGCTTAATTTATTGTCGTTTTCTGTTGTAGGCACGAGAAAAAACATCACACACGGAGGCAGACTCGTCTAAACGTTCAGGAAGCTTGGATGAAGAATCCCAAAGTTCAAATAACGGTATAATTCAGCCACTAGGCATCAAGCATATACAAGGATTATTCTTCTTACTGATAATCGGTTATCTATGCTCATTGCTTGCTTTCCTTCTTGAGAATTGTTTCATAAAACTTTACCGTAAGCACAAGCGCTAAAAAATCTGCCGAAACTCCAGTTGAATGCTATAACAGCAGTCTAGTTTTTAACACAATTGAATGGTAGATGATGTAGATTACGATTAATTACGGTCTTTATATACTTTATCAAATCTCTAGTAAGAGATTCGGCCTGCTCCCTTATCGCCTTATCATTCACGTCTATGTAATCAAGAACTGCAGCCAACAACAACAACAACTACTACTTCAGGACGGCTAGACAATAGCACCAGTCTCCCTCCTCTACCAGGGCCCGTCACCCCACCTCGCACCTGGGTCGCTGGGAGGCTACGCCCTCCCAAACAAGCAGTTCAAGCAGCCGATTCCTAGTTAAAGGAGACTATCAACGCCCTCTGGCCGGCCAATATTCTGTATATATAGGGCTACCAAGCTCTCCAAGTTGTACGGGCTCACCATAGCCCGTGCTACTTGAACTCATTGTTCTCAGTAGCTGAATCTAAAACAACAACATCTCTCCAAGTTTCAGATTACTCCTGTGTGCTCAGCTGAGTAGACCTGGTGACACGTCTCGGTGTGGTAACAGATTTAGTCAGACTGGCTCATAGTATTCTGCAACATATATTATTTTGCACCTTAACGTAATGTAAATTTGATTATTCATCTTGTTTGTTTTTGCACATTTTGTATTAAAGCTAAGCCTGAATATTATTTTATTTTTTGTAATTTGTTTAAAGTAATTTCTATTAAAGTAAAGTATTTTTTAATTTTTGTTCCGTATGTTTTCTCCTACATTTAACCACACTGTGAATATACCTTTTGCAGTTTTATTTTTTTTTTTTTTAATATTTTGTGATTGGCATTACAGACTGCTCGACCATCAACGTTACCGTCACAATACTGTAATTTTTTAACATTATTTTTAACGTGCTTTAGGATAGTTGATCACGTGATGTGTTTCGGCAAGACCGAGACACACGCAGAAAACATCGATGACAATTATTGTTGTGTTAGCCAATCGATGGATCAAAGGAGCGTGATGGGGACGTTAATAATTATGACTTTGCCCCCCCCCCCCCCTCCTGTCCAACCATTTGGGCTGGACGGTACAGCAACGGTCTCGTTTCATGCAGGTCGGCGTTCAATCCCCGTTGGGCACCATTCTTTCCCCCCCTCCTCCTCCGTCCCATCCCAAATCCTTATCCTGATTGATTGATTGATGAAGATTAAGCCACCCAAAAGGTGGCACGGGCATGAATAGCCCGTAAGTGGTGGCCCTTTTGAGCCATTACCAGTATCAAGAGGTGATACTGGAGATCTGTGGAGGTGCGACTGCACCCTGCGTGACGGGAGAAGTCTCCCGTGCCTTATCCTGACCCTTCGAAGTGCTGTATAGTCGTAATAGCTTGGCGCTTTTCCCTTGATAATTCCCTTCCCCCCTCCCTCCACCCCACTCTAAACACCAGGAACCTTTTCAATGACACCTCAACTCTTGCCTGATATCTTGGATAGGCGATAATAGAATTCCTTGACACAGGCTTCAACATTCCTCACATTCCCGTTAATACGATAACGTCATATAACTTTTGTCCAAGACAAGATAGCGAGTAGTGCAGTTGTCTGGAACTCTCTTGTATTTTATCAAATAAACTGTGTAATAATAACGATTCCTGGTTTGTTGACCAGACCACACACTAGAATGTGAAGGGACGACGACGTTTCGGTCCGTCCTGGACCATTCTCAAGTCAATTCCTGGTTGGACCTCTAAAACCATATAGTATCACCGTACAGGAAAAATAAACGTAAGACACAGTCTTATTTATGTTCCGAACCTTAATGGAATCTGACCCATATATCAATCAGGTCAACCCATGTGTTGCGTTTCCAAAAGGGTCGCCCATGTTAGAATCGGTGAACGCCCTAGTAATATTGTTGAAAACATCTTAATAACTTATTAAACCAAAGGTCTTTTTATGTCAGAAGAACGGCAGAAACTGGATCTATATATGAAAACTCTTTCAGGACAAAATTTAAAGTAAAACTAAAGATATTTGTAGTTGTATAAAAGTTGCATTTTTTCATCGGTCGTAGAGCCGGAAATCCGCAATATTCATCTCAGAACAATGCTTATTTCACGCAGAATCGTTAATAAACGTAAGATTTTTATACGTCTCAAGAAAGATAGAAACATAATCTTCATTTTAAATGCCTTACCATGGGCATATTTGTATTTAAAGCGAAGATACGTGTATTTTTCTAATCGGCGAGCTCCGATCCCGCACAGATCGAGCAACGGAGTAACTCTCTCTCAGAACAATGCTTATTTCACGTAAATTCGTTAATAAACACATATGTTTTATATGTCTCAAGAAAGATAGAAATATAAGCTTCATTTTAAATACTTTAACATAGACATATATAAAGCTCAAGTGAAGATACATACGTTTTTATAGTGGCATTCAGTAGCTTGTCGGTCATGGAATGCAGAAGCCTACGAACTTGCCAATATAGTGTGTAATTAACAAAGATACGCTTATAAAGCCTAAAATATTATATGCCTTCAGAAAGACAGAAATATGCTCGTTATTGTGAGTGCACCAAAGGAAATATATCTTGTTGGAGGACAAAGATATATCAATTCTAAAATAAGTTTCGACTCGATATATATTCATTCATTTTGATCGGAATAGCAAAGGATGGGCACCGTACCTTCAATCTTTTTATATCCAAGCTCTTATAGGCGCTCATCATATCAGTATGATATGGTCTCGTCAGTATGTAATCATACTGAATTAGCACGCTCTCCTAATAATTATATCACCTAGCCAAAGCACTGTGGAAACTGGTAGCTTTGTGCTAGATACAGACCCACGGTTCCCTGCACATTTTGGATTGGATATAATGATCTGAATTTTTCGAGTAACACTGCGATACATTTTTTAACCTATATCCAAGTATCACAGTTCCTCAATGACATAATTCTGTTAGCGCAGCGTCCATAGATTTGTATACAACGGATCTACAGTCATTCGGTTAAGTATTGATTAATTATTTAAATGTTCCAACCTATGTCTTGTTCAAAAGAAAACCCAAAAAGTACCAAATTACATCCTCATAGTTTCCTACCTTGGGCTTCAAACTCACACTGTTCTTGTACTACCCACTTCCCCAATATTAGTACTTAAGATAATTAAGATAATTAAGTTCTTCATCTTTACCAGTGTAATCACCTCTGTTAATTAATTTATATTATTGATATAAAACGTTGCTACAATGTGCTTTTTAACCTTACCTGATATGTTAGATTAAGGACTTGCCCGAAACGCTATGCATGTTAGTGGCTTTGCAAGAATGTAAAAATATCACTCTAATGTAATTTCACCAACCTATTGTACCCTCTTGTAAATAAAATATTATTATTATATTATACTATCATTCACCAGTTACCCCTAAAAAGATTTTACGTTTTTTACGATAATATCTTCTCCTTGAGAAGCACGGAGTATAGCGGCTCACTTCCCTAGCTTAAATGCCTGTAGCATTTATATTCATGCAAACTGCACCTACAATTAAGAAGAGAAGCATTTATATATGAACCTCTAAGCAAATTAACCACTTTGAAAATGGGAAGGCTTCTACACCCTAAATAACTGCTTGTTAGCAGGAACTCTCTATAGTATGACTGAAAATGATTATGCCAATTTAGGAAAGCACTCAGATGATCTTCCCATTTTCAATGTGGTTCATTTGCATTTACTGAGATCAGTGTTCCTGATCTTGTTTGCTCATGAATCTCAATAATGATGATAGTTTGAGCTCCACCTGTCTGCACAATTTTGTTTCAATAAACACTTCTTTTTTTTTGAGATATATACAAGAGTTGTTACAGTCTTGTACAGCCACTAGTACGCGTAGCGTTTCGGGCAGGTCCCTGGAATACGATCCCCGTCGCGAAGAATCGTTGTTACAACCAAGTACACATTTTACTGTTGCGTTAAACAGAGGCTACAGTTAAGGAATTGCGCCCAGTAAATCCTCCCCGGCCAGGATACGAACCCATGACATAGCGCTCGCGGAACGCCGAATACTTATGATTCGCCGAACGAATACTTAATGTATTACTGTATATATATGCACGTAACATCGGAGTGTGGTGAGCAATGTTCGTAAAAGATTAGTAGGAAAGTGTTTAGGTAGGAGGGAGGAGGGAAGAGGGAGGAGGGAGGAGGAGGCAGCTGCACAGAAACAAACGAAGATAAACAAAAGGAAAATAATCTACATAATTTACTATACATGTATAAAACAAATAAGAGAAACGATAAAAATGAAAGAAGAAACAGAGAAGAATGAAAGCCAAAAAGAAAAATGAGACAAATGGTGTCTGGAAGCACACAAGAATATAACAGTAAGATTGTAGGAGAAAGATGACTTGTAGGACTAAGAAAACCTACGACATGAATACTCTCGCACCAGACGCTTCCGAAGCTCAAAAAAATGTCAATATATGGTGCTCAAATGTTTACTAACAAGTCGCATTTTTATCCGATTGGTCGAATATATAAAAAAATTGCGTCGTATTTGGCGAGTCCGACGGGCTGAGTAGCGACAGAAATGAGAATTTTTACTAAAATCCGCGCAGTTGTGACGATAAGTGGATTCCATAAACGAACGCGTTAGATGAGAGAACAGTGCACTGGCGCTTCTCTTTTCACTTTATTAAACTACACTGTTAGACCCAAGAGTGATCACTATCACTGTACCGTCGTCACCATCCAAGGGCCATAGGTAACCCCCCCCCCCTCACCAATGGAATGACCAATATCAATAAAGACTAATTGTTAGCGTTTTCACAGACCTTAAGACCAATTTTGTCTATATCGTTCCATTAAAGTCTTGGAGTTTAGGGTGTATCCACTCTCACTGTGGTTCCTGATGGTTTCACCATCACTCTGCCATCATCCAGACTCACCCGGCCCCGCTACCTTCATCCACTCACAATCATTTACGACGAGGTCACATAATGGTACGACTCCACGGACTGTATTTCACCATTATTACCTACTTCAATCACCAGAGAACCATATATAATAATTAATATTACAAGCGTGATTCTAAATCATTTACGTGGCATCATGTACGAGCTCTCTCTTCACCATCACCAACATTCACCACCATTACCGTGTCAACAACTATCACCACTATCATCAACCATCGACCCTGTAGTGGTAGGCACGGCCACCACCCATCGTGACCTGATCTGCTTTTCAGTTGGAGTTGGGTTGAGCAATTCTTGTCGACCTTGATTCAGTCGCAATAGTAACTTTTCCTTTATTTAATTAAAACATCTCATAGGATAGTTTGTCAGACATGTAATCGGTTAACCAGCACTGGCAAACTTGGGATGGATTGTGAGAATATCCTCTAGAACACGAGAGTGGAACAGGTTAACTGCAAAGCTTCAGCTACATCATGCCGTCAGGTGTGTGGGGTCTAGTGACTGGACATCCAGTAATGTAATGTTGGAGATCATGACCCAGTTCCTGCTTGCAGAGTTTCTCAGTGGGTGCTCAGGATTGAGTCATTCGTCACTTACACCCACCTGCCATAGGTGGGGTGTAAGTCTGGGTCAACAGAATCTAGACACAACCTAATCTAGGCCTAACTGTACAACAAAAATCGAATAATTACAATAATAAATCGAACAAATTCTAATAATCAAATAAAAATAATAATCAAATAATAACAC